CCGCATTCAATTATCTCTTCTTGCGACGCATTACGGAGTGGACAAGAGGCAACGACACAAGTGACATAATTACTGTGTGTTGGCGATAGACAGAGTGCAGTGCCCTACTGTCATCATACGGTTAGGGTTTGGGTTGCTACGTTGAGTTTCTGCAAAGACGAGATGCGGCGACACTAACCGTAACGCTAACCCTAACCATATGATGACAGCAGGTCACTGCACGCTGTCTATCGCCAACACACAGTAATTATTTCATTTGTTTCATTCCCTCATTTTGCGGCTCTTGGGGCAAATAAAGGTTAATACTCTGGATCTTGTGAACTTCAAATAATGCTGTTACCTCAAATGTAAACTAAAACACATTTAAGTGCCACAACTAGTAGGTGTTAAACAGTGTTACTGCACAAGTATAGACCCTTACTTTTCTTCCTCTTCTTGCCAGATTAGTTATTATGATAAAATGTATCATTTCTGGGAGTTCCTCGTTAGTTACATTCAATTGTGGGTATTACGACCCAGTTGGCCAGTTTTCAATTCCTAATGGATCTACCTGCAACAGTCTAGCAGGATATGTTGTGTGGTTTCCATGTACAGCCCACATGGGCACTGGTGAAGTACCCAGATGATGCCAGTGCATGGGCTTGTGAAATTTGTTATGCTCTGTCTAGAGTCATAAAATGATGACCTGCCCATGCTGGTCAATTGGTATCTTCATTAGTCTGATTGTTCCCTTTAGATTTAGTTAATAACCTTTGTTTCCTCAGTGTTTGTTATTACAACGTGCCCCAATAAAAACTGAGCATGAAATGCCTCATTTTATCACATGGTAAATTGTATGAAGTATCAAAATAAAATATTCCCACTAATGTTTGGTAACTGCTGCCACAAACTTATTTTATTACAGTTCTGTTTTTAGATATTTAAAGAATTGATTTGTTGTGATTCATCTGGAGTTTCTTGAGACAGGATCTGGATGCTCTCAATTCATTCTCGATGAAGTTTGCCAGTTTTGATCTTCTTAAGCCTGCTGATTGATTCTGTCACTATTAGTGTATGGCAGGGCTATTCAACTAAGTTTACTCGCGGGCCAAAATCTTGAAAATTGGGATCGTCGCGGGCCAGTGGCCCAAACCAAGTGTGGGAAGATTATCAACACTATAGTCGAGGAAACTGTAGATGTGTAAATTTAATACACTCTGAGACGGTTACGCCTAGGCGCCATAGGGCCTAGCCTACGGTAATATAAATGAAAGTTTTGTAAACCATTATAATGTAAAATGTACTACAATTTTTTGTAATGATTAAAAAATACTCACTTTTAATTGAAATACACGTATTTCCAACTTGTTGTTTGAATAATAAATGAACGTTTGCATCAGTCACTTCAGTTGCATTGTCACAATAAAAATAGTAATACAGTTAATAATAACTGTCCCCAGTTCGTTTTTCATATGGCTTTGTACAGAAGAACCGAAAGCAATAATGGGGCAAAATTTAATTAATGGGAAAAGTTGCATTTTTTTCTGTTTTTTGAGCTAATTTTTTTTAATTTGGTTGGTGAGAAGTCAGAGCAATTATCATGCAATCCTGCAGCCTGTCATTGCTCAGTGAGCTCCGACTGTTTGTCTTGATGACGTTCATATGTGAAAAGCTTGATTCACAAGTGAAAGTTGAACCAAACATGGTGAGAATGAAAACGGCAACCTTTCTAGCATTAGGAAACTGCTCCTGTTGAATCGTTTCGGACCAAAACTTGACGGTACCACTTTCTTGAAAACCTTCATTCAGTGCGCTGGAACTTTGGATATCCACAAGTTCTAACTGCAGAGAACCTTCATCAACAGAGGGTAACAGCTTTTTAGCATTCGAAGAAAAATCACCCGCAGGGGGAATTTTAAAAGGATCTCGAACGAATAACATTACATTGTTTGGGATACTAAAGTCTTCAAATCTGTTGTTGAAATTGTTCTGAAGCTTTTTTAATAAATCTATCATTCGATTAGTTATGGTTGCTGAGTCCAGTGTTGAAGAAATAAAATCCTTCAAGTTTGGGAAATGAAGAAGTTTGGCTGTTTGGAGATCCGTTATAAACAAAGCTAGCTTATCTCGAAAAGCGTTCAATTTTTCAACCAGATCAATGATTGTCTTGTGTCTTCTTTGCAGTTGCAAGTTCAGTGTGTTCAAATGAGCAAACAAATCGTTTAAAAAGCAAACATTTGCCAAAAAATGCACTGTCACGTAATACTTTCCTATACTTTTCTGCCTTATTATGGGAACAGTTTCCAAGAAAACATATTATTTCTTCTTTGATACTCCAAAAACGATAAAGTGCTTTCCCTTTACTCAGCCAATGAACGTCATTATGCAGAAGTAAGTCTTTGTAATCTTCTTCCGTTTCTTCAAGTAACTGCCGAAATAACCTGTGCTGAAGACTTGATGAAGATCGAATGAAATTGATTATTTTCATCACCATATCCATTGTTTCCTTTATCTCGTTGCTCAGTTTGCTGCACAGAACACTTTGATGGATAAGACAATGTAGCGACTGCATCTGAGGTGCTACTGCAGAAAGCTAGCGGTCACACCTTGGTGCTTACCTAACATTGACGGCGCCCCGTCCGTTACCAATAAACAAATTTTTTTTCAAATCAAGTCCATTTTCTGTAAAAAATAACTTAATCTTATCAGAAATAACTTCTCCAGTTGTGAAATTTTCTAATGCTATTAAAGCTAGAAGTTCTTCATGAAAACATTTTGCATCGAAAAAATGCACATATAAACATAACTGAGCCACGTCTATGATATCTGTAGATTCGTCAATGGCAATTGAAAAAAAAAATTCTGCCTGCTTTATGTTTTCAATTAAAGATTCAAAAACTACAGTTCCTAAAATTTTGATTCTGCGTATCGTCGAAGTATCCGACATAGGGATTTGCTAAACTGCATGTGACACGCTTGTTTTTATTTTATCATCAACTGCTATTTCGTCCAGAATTGCTAGTATGCATTCTTTCACGGTTTCTGAGTCAGTGAAAGGCCGCTTCTTTTTGGCTAATATCCACGAAACATGCGAAGAAGACGCTGTAGCTTTTTCTTGTTGAGTACAAGCTCGCACAAACATTCTGCTGCTATGCTGATAAGTAGCAATCAACGACTCAACCTTTGATTTCCTAGCAGTGAAACCTTCTGGATATGATTTTCCAAAATCTGCGTGTTTCGTTGTAAAGTGCCGCTTTACGTTGTACTCCTTAACTGCCGACACACATTCGTTGCATAGCAAGCACATTGGTTTCGAATTAGGCATTGTTGGTGATATAAATAAATATTTCAGTGTCCAGTCATTGTTGAACATACGATTTTCACACACCCATTTAGCTTTCTTACTAGTACCAGTCATGGCATCAAGTATGTCACTTGAGTATTAAAATTTAGATAACTTGAAACACTGTTACTGTTTCACTTTGTTACTACACAATCGCGTCCGGCAGTCTGCGTCTGTCTGTGACTTGCACACTAGACGTTTACGAAATATCTGACTATAAACTAACAACAAATTCACTGCGATGTTCAGTGTCACTGGTAATCTGGTAATCCAGTGTCACCAATGTTCTGCAGCACCCATTGTCATTAATCTTTGTTTACGAGTGATAAACTTTAAGGGATAGTTCCTCGGTAATCTAAGCGCTAACTATCTGGATCGGGATTGGATCTCCACACGCCTCCTGTCAAATAAATATCTCACCTTCATTGACTGTCCAGTGGAGCGACTGCTGCCTACCGTGGTTACTTGATTCTGTCCAGCCTATCTTATTACCTTTGGCTCCAAACAGGCGAGTACAGCTATTTCAAGTAACTTTTACCGTGAAATAATTACATTTCCATGCCTGAGAGATTTCCCCACTTGTGGTATTGTCTGTTCATTCGCCTGTTCCCTTGTATCTTCGCATTTAGAGATCCCTGACAAACATTTCTTATTGTCACATTCGACACAACTAGTTTTTGAAGATTTATACAGAAACATTGATTGATTACATCTTTTTTAAATATACTACATTTCAGTAGCAATGATCGGCGAGCCACTTGTTAGGTCTCCGCGGGCCAGATTTGGCCCGCGGGCTGCCAGTTGAATAGCCCTGGTGTATGGGTTGTTTTCTGTTCCACCACCCATGCAAGTGCCCTATTGATATCTGCTATCTCATCATCATGCTGGTAGCTGAACTGAATGCTTTACTTTCTTCTTTTACTGACTTTTTTTTTCTCCCATTCACCTGTGCTTTGTATGTCCACTCAGACCACACCCCATGTATCACTGAGCTATTGTATAGTTGACCTTACCTGGTTGAGTGCAGTTGGATCTCATGTGAGACACAATAATACAGTGGGACAAAGCTTCAGAGAAATCATTATGATGTGTGGTAGAGAAAGAGATCATATACACTGGGGTGAGATTTGTAACAGTGGAGCTTTACAAAAAATTGAGAGTTGAAAGAATACAAGAGATTAAATAATCACAAGTAATAATGAGAAATGTATTGAAAAATTAAAAAAAAAACTATTCAGCAATGGACATAAGTATTATTTAGTGACATCCCCATTCACGCAGAACCATGAAAAAAATTAAAGCTCAGTGAAGTCTTAGCCATCCACTGAAGACTGACATAACAGTTCATCATCAAAAAAATGTTTAAAAGATCATGAGTATAGTACAAAATAATGTAGTAAAATATATACCTTAAAGATCATCCATAATCAATTTGATAGCAGACCATTCTGAATTGTTACAATGCTGTGAACATTATACCATTCAGAAAGCAATGGTGAATAACTAAAGATATAATTGCCCTGTAAAACCATGTAACAGCCAAAAATGCTGTAGCTGGAGTTAGTGTGTGGCTTTCTGAAGGGTATGTGTAACTTTAATAAGTCTTTCAAATATTGATATTCTGACTTTGTAATTGCTAGATTTGAACAGAATGACATGCCTTATTGTTCTTTCTCAGATCCCCTGTAGGGTGCCAGCTGTGACTTCTTATACTTTAGCAGCCCGTGGATTGTCAACAACAGCATGTCTTTGTAAAAACAGGAAATCTGGGATTCCAAAAATCACACAGTTCAGGACAAAGCCCCTCACATACGAGCAAGCCCAGGCACCATTCAACATTTATGTTAGAAAGGGCTGGTTGTCATGGAACACAAGTAAGATATGTAAAATAGACTCATGCGAGTATGGGTTTGTAGATATTACTCACTGACACTTTATTATATTACCACACAGATATACTGGATCTGCCTCACTGGGTTGTGAATTGATACATGACAAGGCAGATGTGGTCAAGGCCCTTTTGGAACAAGCAACAGAATCAGTAGAGAAAGAAGATTATTATGGCCTGGAGAATGAGGCACCTGGGTGTAACCAGAGAGTCTGGCCGACTCACTACGTTCAGGGGAATTCAAATTCAAATTCTCTTTCTTTGACCACTTTCAGCTAGGTCCGTTCACATTTCTGCTCACTTTCCTTTCAGCTATATTTGTGGTGACGTTTTCTGGTCATGATCTCATTTGATTCTGGATTGTGTTCAATATTGTTGCTTTCTATTTGTTGTGGTTTCCGCTCTTGCTGTTGCCTTCGTAATTTGGCTGGCCCTGTGCTGTGCTCAAGATGATTGGATGTTGAATCGATTTATTGTGGTATTCCTTGGCTGTTTGACGTAAATTGCCTATCCTAATAAGGACCGGCGGTCGATTGACTTGGGCAGGTACTGATGACAATACTGGTGAGGTCTGGTATTATTTGGTGATTTTCTCGTATCCTTGTTGTAAAGTACTGCTCCTACATATGTTCAGGGGAAAGGCAAGACGGACATATAACCAGGTTGTGACCGGTACCATTAGTATTGGAACTCTGTGCTGGCTGTTGAAACTGAGCACGGAGCATGCATGGGAATGCCCCAAGTTAGTCTTTCCTCTTGTGTCGAGTGCGGCACATAGGGCAGAGGTCATGACTCTCCATGCATGGCGGTTCGTTACAATCTGTTGTAGGTCTTGGATGTTTGAGTGGCCCATGAGCGAGCCTTCCCTGATGATAGTTCTACGTAGGGTTTCCCTTGGTCTTCCACGAGATCTTTTCCCCTGTGGTGTCCAAATGAGGGCTTGGTAAGGAAGTCTTGATTTATCCATTCTAAGGGCGTGGCCGACATAGTTCCAGCGGCGTTTTCGTATAAAATTAGACACATACTCTTGCCTGGATTCTTGCCTTATTTGTGTATTGGTTCGAAAATCTGACCATTTGAAATTTAGTATTCTTCTAAGGCATTAATTTTCAAAACTGTCTAATTTTGTGTCTAGAGTTTTCGTTGATTTCCAGCTCTCGCATCCATAGGTTAGTACTGGAATTACACAAGAATTGTGTGCTGTGATGTTAATTCTAAACTCACTCTATATTAGGGCTGTACCGAGTATTCACTTCAGCGCCGAATAATGGACCTAATAACTATTCGGTATTCTGCAGAATAGTTGAGGTCGGGCCGAATACAAATAGTGGTTACCTTACTCCCGTTTCTGCATACACTGTGATTAACTGAAATAACTCTCATTAACACAGTAGTTGCTGTTGCCTAAGAGAGATAGGGAGAGATCATGCATTTTTCGTTCTTTCAGGGTGTCTTCGCCCAAATTAAATTTGAAGATAATGCTAACGAGAATATGAAGGTGCGTTTAAATTACATCGAACAAACGGCCGAGCGAACGATGATTTTAAAAAAGGCGGAAGCCCGAAGACAACTAATCACAGACATCAGAAGGAAACAGTCGACATTTTTCAGCCATGTTATGAGAAGAGGGAAAATTGAACATTTTGTGACCACTAGAAAGATATGTGGAAGGAGGGATAGAGGAAGACAACGATAGAAGATTCTTGACAGTCTTGTTGCATGGCATAGTGTTGTGTCAGCACACGAACTGATTCATGCTGCAGGAGATAGCAGATTGTGGAGAGGCATGATTGCCCACGCCAGTCGGCAAGGCACCTGATGATGATATTACACTATTCGTATTCGTCCAAATAGTTGGTACCACTATTCGTATTCGGTACAGCCCTACTCTATATCACCACTTATCCACTTATGCATTGTTAAGATTGATTATTAATTTTTTAGTTTTTACCGGTTACCACTTTCTAATTATCACAGATTGTTTGTGCTACAGTTCTTCAATATTTTCTGGCTCTTATTTATAATTGGCTTATCTTCATTGCATTTAGGACATAGGTGCTTGGATTCTCCCTTAATATATAACATCAATATTCTGCAGCTAATAGTGCAAATTCTATATCAGTGGCCCCCAAAACTAACCCCATTTCCCTCCACTCTTTCTTTCTCTCTCTCTCTCTCTCTCTCTCTCTCTCTCTCTCTCTTCTTTCTTTCTTTGAGAACATTATATTTTTAAATTTCAATTTTTCCTTATTTCCTCTTTTACTGCTTTTGGTGTTAATGAAGATTTAAGATTCTGCTTCTTCCTCTTGTGGCTACCTCCACCACAGACACATCATGTTGTAGAGTTTCTCTAATGTTTCCATCCTGTTCTTAGTCTACCTCATGTTCTCCATCCTTCTCCTCTTTTAATGTATACCTTGTATGGTATGTCATTTGATTTGCAGTTTTTATAGTTAAAATTGCAACATTAACATAAAACTTTTGTTAAGAGATACGGGATCCCCGTAATCTTTATAGCTTAGCCCTTTCTGTTGCATGAAGTTTATTGTTAAATGTGGATTCTCACTAGTTCAAGCATTAAGCAGACATTTTTGTGGGCATGTGACTAAATGAGGAAACAAAAGTAACTAATGGTGTCTGTATGCACTGAAAAGGGATCAGTTAGCAGACACAGAAGCACAGGTCAGCTCTACAAAATTAGGTTAAAGGTAGAATGTTGTGAAAAGTTTTCAGTGGGAATATGTGCTGCTATGAAACCTAACAGTATTTGTGTTTTGTTTTATTAACAGGTAATCTTTATGGTGAGGGAAGGAAAGCAGAAACAGCTTTTGAAGATTTCCTAATCCGCAAATTTATGTTCGGAACGTGGCATACAAACCTTGTGTCAGAAGTGGTTATCAAGAGGCGGCAAAATATCATTGTGTTATCTTTCCTTGTTTCCATGGAAAGATTGCTGGCCAGGCAGGTCTACTTTCTCCAGGGCTACACGGAAGAACTGTTGACCACCTGGTTGAAGTGCCCGGTCAAGGTGGAGCTTCAGACAGTTGATTCGTTTGATGATGTTGTATTTAAAAAGATTTAAGAAATGCTTAAAGAGTGCTTGAGATTGATTTAAAGATTTTGTAATTCTTGTTTGTTGTGTGTTGAGAGAGACTGCAGGATTTTGTTTTTCTGGATGCCGTGACTTCAGATACTGTTGTAGCTTCTGTTTTCTATGCACCTTGTTCTGAGTCTACTCTGTGCTCTACATCCTGCTGTTTTGGGTATATGCCTTGCATGATGTTTTTATTCTTCTTCAGCATTTCCAGCCCATGAGGCAGATATTACCCACTCCCATTCATTTCGCTAATTGGCCTTTTCTTTCTAGTTGGTGATGCAATTGTTTGAAAGTCTGCCCGTATATTCTCTCTCCACTGTCTTCTTATTCTGCCTTATGGTCTACCCCTACTCAGCTGTTTTGTGTAGACAGTTTTTGTCTCTGTTACCTCTCATTTGCTGTGCTGTAAACTTGCAGTCTGTTAGTTAAAGTCATCCCCATATTGTGCCCCACCCTGGCTTTTGCTGGGGGCCGCAATATAGTCTGCCAGTTGAATGCTGTTTTTGGGACCTCTCCATTGGTGATCCTCATCAGCATGGTGGCACTTTGAGTCACCTGGTGTTTATTGCTCTGGGTGATGTCCTGGTGGGTTAAAATTTACTTGCTTTCCTAGTCTTTTTAGCCCTCATGATACCAATAATGAGTAATTTAAGCCCAGTGTAAATTTTATTGTTGCTTCTCAGTCTGTACTCTCTGTTTATTGTGTTAGTTTTTTAAATAATTTTAGCTGGTCTTGCTTTCTACATGGTTTTGCAACACTGCAAATAGATCAATTAATCTGTACACACACTCTTTATATGTGTAACAGAAGTCAGACTTGATTCATGGGTGTGAAATAATCACTCAGTAATAGTTCTTATGGGGGGTCACTGTGATGTAGCGGCGAGATGCTCTCCTGCAGATCGAAAGGTTTTGGGTTCGGGTCCTAGTGGAACCATACTTTTTTTTAAAAATGATCCTGACTTCCAGGTTGCTCCCGCTTTGAATGGGTACCAGGTGCAGTCCTGAGAAGTAAAGGTGATTGGTGTGGCGCTGACTATTTCACCCACCAAATGCCGATTATAGTCTATAAAATATAGATCTAGTCTTATGAAACCACACTCCTGATGGCATGGAAAAGGGCCTTTTACTAATAGTTCTTAAGTTGTATTCAGCTGTTAAGCCAAATAACCTAGAGATATTTTGTGAACATACAGTTGTCTGTTTTCTTATTCACACTTCATCAATAGTAAGCAAGCAGATGAGGTGGAGAAAATAACAGTACTGCTACAACTGTGAACACCAAAATGATTTATCTAGATGTTTTGAAAGAAGATAAGACCTAAAGACAGCTTCTCACAAAAATAAGAAAAAAAGGCATTCATCATTTGTTGACTACATAATTAGTAACAGTCTAGAACATGTGACAGCTGGAAAGCTTTATTGCAAGAGAAATAGAGAGAGGAAGACAATGAAAATTAATCTGGGCTCCCAAGTGATCCTAGTCTAAAATTGGTACTGGGCAGTAAAGATGGCAGACAGTAAACCAAGCACATTTACCAAGTACCAGCAGGTCTATAGAATCTGTGGTAAGGTTAGCACCATATGCCTAGTACACTGCATAGTGTGCAGCAGACACCCCTCTCCTCTTTTTTTTTAAGGTAAAGTATGAGATGTGAAGAAAGATAAACATGTAACCACACAGTAGGTTGCTTTGCTACTGAAAGAGCTGTGGAGGAGATCTATTCTTTTCTCCGCCATAATCCACAGTGGAGAAATTGTTTGACCATTCACTGTGTAGTTTTTTCAGTCTTATATTGCTCCAATAAAAATATATCATATTTATAAGTCAGATCTGTAAAATGGATGTGCACGCCACACTCAGGTTCGAAACAAGATTAACTTTCTGCCAGAGTTTACAGCTGGTGAACACAACAAAGAAGAAATAGAAGTTACTGAACGTTGCAGTCAGTTTTGAAGGACTGGCCAGAAATGTAAAGCTTATTTTAAAAGAAAGCACTGACTGGTCACACCTTATAAGAGGTGTGTGTCATGATTGTAATGGGCTCATAATGCAGACTGAGAAAGATGCAGTCAGGTTTCATGCAGAATTCCAACACTTCAGAGGTCAAGGTCATTTGTATCTTTCTCCATTGCTTACTGTTATGTTAGGAAACAAACAGCAGATGAAGTAGCATGGTCAGGAAGCAAGTGAAAAATGCATAAGCACAAACAGATCTGGAGAAGATGATGTGAAAATGGGGGGTCAACTCTCAAAGGAATGGCAAGAAAAAATGTATAAGACTACCACTGGTATTGGAACTTTGCACTCGCAGCTGAAGCCAAGGATGATTTGCTTATGGAAAATCACCTTAGAGCTAGGTTGTGCCAAGGAAATGTAGGTTATCTTGCCAAACAATCTATGGTCTTTTAATCTTTTGCATTCTAATAAAAATAATCAGGCTAGATGTTTCAATATCACTAGCATATACCCAGGCGATAAGTGTAGGTGGTCTTGCTTCATCATTCATCTAAAACGATCACCAAAATCTTCGATCACTTTAGTGCTCTTCTCACCCATATCATCAACCCATCCAGGTGTTTGTCTCTTTGCTTTGACCCTAGTTTTTTTCCTCCATCATTTGCCATTTGTAACCAAGTTTCTTCTCATGTCAACAATAAAAGAAACAGCCCTTGAGGAGGATTACTGTTTTTTTCACCAGTCCGTGGTATCACTTGAATTCCTTTCAAAAACCACATCTTTGCTGTTAGAAATGTTTATTTTTTTTCAAAGACACTGGTTACAACTGAAGAAAATTATTTCTTCTCGTTTATCCGAGTGACATAAATGTGTTGTCTGTTTACAGCAGAGCTGCGATATTTGCACCTTTCGGCCAGCACATCCAAATTCATTGAGCATTTGTTGACCAGGTTTACTTCTTGGATAGTTTTGTGGGACAGGGACATGTTGTGGCCTTATTTGTGTGGTGTTTTCTTTGTCCCCTCATCCATAGGACTTGCCCCTGGAGACCCCGTCTAGGGCATCCACATATAGACAGGTCGGCCCTCAAGGAAAGGCAGGGGCAGATCATGGGCATTCCCCACCATTCAAGGAGACTTCCATAAATGCAGAGTCGACACATGTCGCTCTGGTCCTAGGCTTACCCAAGGAATCTTCACGTCCTGCTGTTGCTGCCTAATCTCACATCTGTATTTTGAGCTTTCCAATCGTCACCGATCAGCAGAGAGCAGCCCATAGTTCAGGGACATTAATGACCACACAGATATGTAAATTGTTCTTTAGCGTGTTAGACACCTTTAAAGTTGTTTCATCTGGAAGCTTAGCAAGAGCAGGCATCCAACATGGCTCTTCCTTTTAGGTCTCATACACTGGTGAGTGGGGCCAATGGGGCATGTGAGCCGCTCTGCCAGTTAGTGGGACTTTTTTCGGTCGGACATTCAGAACTTTGTTTCTGTGCCATAGTGCATGTATCAGACGGACTTTTAAGCCAAACCAGCCACTGACAGTTTGACGTGGTGGGCCCCAACGAGGTGACCATGATGCTGAGAAGCAGAAAGGGACGTTTGGCGACAGGATTGTTCTGCGAGTCACCGCCCGCAAGAGATGTTGCTTGTCTAGGCTGTGAGCAAATCTCATGTTTTGGGGGCTGAGTCTCAGTAGTATGTAGTTCTTCCCACTCAGATGCTTAAACAGAGGGTTGTCATTTAGTAGTATTTTTGTCCAGCGGACTTTACCCATGATTCAAATGAGCTTTGATACTGAGGGTGGACTGATGAGAGGCAGACTGGATGTAGTATCTCTAGAGGCCACTAACTCCAAGATCCCTTGCCAGCTCGGTTTATGTCACAAAGGTGAGCCCTTATCCATGGCGCACGACAGGAACGTTAGGCAGAAGTCTTGCATGAGGATCCGTGAAATCATTTAAAAGCCAGCTGGCGCCTGAGGTGAGTTAAGGAGTAACTTCTTATACAAATCACAACGGCCTTAACCTTTCCCCATGCCTGTGATTGATATCATCCGCCACAGAAAATTATATGATAAACCTCCTCTTGTACCTTTTATCTTCCCTGTGGAGCATAGGCCCTCAAATAACATATGCCTTTGTAGACTTGTTCATGACTGCTTGAAGTTTGCAGCCAGATTTACGCTAACCCTCTTTAATCATGTCTTTAGTAAGTATTCATAAACTGTCTTAATAAAACCAAGTATCAATACAAAGCTGTACTGTTTCAAAACTAACCCCCAAAAAAACATCAAGAAGTATGTAGTGGTTAGTCAAACTAACACATTTATTAGTTTATCAGAATGACAAATTATTCTGTTTTTAATCTCATGTATGAATTCTACTACAACAAGCAAGACTCTCCCATTACACAATAAACGAAGTAGTTAACTGTTTGTGGCATGTCCTTTTACTAGCTTTAAACTGTCTCGTTTCTTATATTGCAAATATTTACTTGGCATGACAGACACTGGTGGTCCTGGGTACATGCAGGGCATGACGAATACTAAAAATCCTGCTTGTCAGTCACCAAAATCATATGAAAAAAACAATGGGGGCCGCAGTAGCACAACACTCAATGCTTGCTCACCCGCCCAACTGCAGTGTGTTCATACATGCACTGAGGGGGATTTTGGGTGAGATCCACGATAATCTCCCCAGCCGAACTAGGTCACGGTCCATCGATACATTTTTAGACTTGTCTGCTGGGAGGGGGGGGGGGGGTTATGGCTATGTTGTTTTTTCTGGCTTGTCTTGCATTTACGTTTTTCTTCCGAGAAAGACAATGCCTCTGACATAGGTTGCAGTACTCTCTAGGGGGCTTGTGGGTTAGACCCAGTTTGTCAATGTTTTCATAGTGTTAAAAGCACTGGCGTGCTTAAATATACGACACTCGATATCAACGCATTGCCGAACCCCAGCGCAGTATCCGAAGGTCGACCAATCAGAAGTGAGCTAGTGTGTAACGTGGGTAGGTTATCGTGGATCATACAGGATTTTGTATAATCAACCTTGTCTCCAAGGTCAACCCAACCTAAGTGGAGTGGCTACCTTGCATTGCCCTGAGAAGTCATTGTCACCAACACAGTGTGATGTTGATTACATCATCCACCAAGTGTCCACTGATCCACAAAAATATGGGTCTACTACCATATTCCTGATCTCAAAATGGTCCTTTCCCTTTACATGACACATTTGTCCAGAAAACTGTCTTCATGACGGCCACTCTAAGGCATCATCAATTTGAGGAAGTAATCTTGAGTCTTCCAGCCATGCATTCATTCATACTCTGTGTGACGTCCTGGAGTCCACGTACTGTCTAGCCCAGCTGTAATGTATTTCTAGGGACATCACACACATTTAGACATACATAATTTTTATGTTATATAGCGACATCAGATATACACATACATTATTATGTAGTGACAACACACACACATACTGACATACATAATGTATAAGTTATGTAGTGACATCAGATACATAACTATTATGTTGTGACAACATATACACATACATAATTTATAGGTTATGTAGTGACATCATAACACACAGACATCAATAATTTATGTAGTGACCTCTCTTTTTCTCTCTCTCTCTCTCACATATGGATATACATATATAATGTATTTATAATGACATTACATGCATGGAAATACATTAATGGAGCATGATACTTGACAACCACACTCTTGACAGCTCTGCTTTAGACAAAGACAAGAGGAAGGGAGCTGGTCACCTCCCCTAGTAAAGCTGTTACTAAACCAACGTGTCTGCAGTCCCTTACACAACATATTGATCGCCACTGCAGAATGTTTTGGGATGAGGTCAAATTTGAAAGGATCAACTTCATAGCACCGGGCTATCCCATAGAGTTTGGTCTCTCTTTGCAGAAAACCTCGCTAACAACTGAGTGTTGCATAAACTCTGTAGTTCCTGATACACTCATGAACTGAATAACACATCCATGAAATGAACCCACAACCTTTAGAGTGTGAGGCAAATTGCTTGCCCACTTCACCAGAGAGTTATCCATAAGATTCAAACTACCTTAGAACTTGAACCTGCTTCATTCACCAAACTGGGCTGATTGTCTTCAGCATTTCAGTAAATGCAGTCATTGGAACTGATAGGAAATTAACAAAACACATAGTTCATATAACTTTAAAATTTACTAATTTCTTTAACCACAGACTAGTTGGACTTCGGTTATATTCCATTTCATGTTCAGTTTCATGAAAACAAGACATGAAGACATAATCATTTGGTAGAGATAGTTAACCACCATACAATAAACTGCTGAACATTAGCAAACAATATGTTAGACCAGGGGAAGTGGTTAAACAGTGTGTGTGTGTACTGATTAAACAAAGAAAATCACAGTCATTTTTATCTACTTATGCATTCATTTATGTATTTTTTTAAATTGCCAACAACCAAATTAAAAACAGTTGGAACATGCATTAAAAAATGGAAAGTGTTTTAACAAAATGTAAATTACACACACTCTCTCTAAAGTGACAACAAAGAATCATTCAAATGACACAATGCCTTATGTCGCGATTATTCATTTTCTCAACAGACCTTAACATGAATAAAAATGTTGACTCAGGTTGTCAGATGTTTCCGAAGACCTAATTAATCTTGTCCTACATGCCCCAGAGTTAAGCTATTTAACTGCAGGCTGAATGTGGCCCGCACGGGTCTAGCAAGTGATCCATGTGATCTATGGCCCGTGACCATCCCCATTTTCAACTTTTCTGGTAAACCAACCAGGTTGACTAGCCCTGCCATAGAGGGAACTGCAGGAGAGCAAAGGCTAGCATGGCCACCTGTCAGTCCAGTGATCATGTGTCTGAATCCATAGCAAGGCAGATTTTTAAATCTTAAGCTGAGCTTTCAGGTCCACTCAGCCTCAGACAGGTCATGGGAAATCTGGGAAGTGGCTTGTTGATACTGACCACATCAATCACCGACCACTGATTAGCTTATAAAAAAAGTATAGCTGGCACCATATGCCCAGTGGGCTTCAACACAGGGAACTGGATCCTGTCCTTTGCTTATTTACATGCCCAAGCGATGCGTACACGGTAGAAGTCTGTCCTACATGCCCTAGAGCTGTGTACAAGGTAAAAGTCTGTCCTACGTGCTCAAGGCATAGACTGAACCTCATTCGGCATGTACAAGGTAAAGTTTTTCTCCATGTCCAAGGGACAGGCTAAACCTCACTGGCTGCATACAAGGTAAAGTTATTCTCCATGCCTAAGGGACAGGCTGAACCTCATTGTGTACAAGGTAAAGTTACTCTCTGAGCCCAAGGCAACCTCATTGACTGCATAAGGTACAGCTATTCTACATGCCCAAGGGACAGACTGAACCTCACTGACTGTACAAGGTAAAAGTCTGCCTTACATGCCCAAGGCATAGACTGAACCTCACCGGCTGTGTACTAGGGCACACCTACATGTTGAAGACACAGCCTGCACCTCACTGACCATGTACAAGGTACCCAAACTACCTAAACTAGAATGTAGAATTCTTCAGTTCCATTAGGCCACATCTGACAGCTCAAATTAGAGAAAGTGATCATACAGTTGTAGATTCCGTAAGCACATTTTCCATGACAAATCTGCAGAAAAGCTCCAAATACCTTCCGTCATCGTAACAATTAAAAACGAAATGTACAAGTACACACATAATTACATAGCAATCACGAAGAGAAACCAAAACAAAACCAAAAATATGAGCAGTGCTAATGCTGTCTTAGACAAGCACCCCACCAGTTCCTGTACACAGATGTCAATGTTCTATAAATTAATGAATGTGTACAACGTGTAATTCATCTTATCACAAGAGGTTTAGAAAAAGGAAGGGGATTCATCATGCACATAACATGTCATAAAGTCCATTGTATTTATAGTTCACTGTTTTTGGGGTCACTTTATCATAAACTTCAGTTTCATAGTTTAAAATCTGAAACGTAGTTTTTTTTTTTTTTTTTTTTTTACAAGATAAAAATCAATTGTCAATATCTCCACACTAATGCCTTGTGTGTTTCTTTAAGAACTTCAATGCCTTTGTATCAGAAATACAGTTCCACACTGTACTATGAAATGGGAGTGGTGACATTCAGCCCTGCTACACAAGGTTTATAACAATGACTTCTAGTTCAGGTGGTTAGTTCCATGTCCAGCGTGTCAAACTTTAGTTTTGCCTTGCAAGAATTGTAGGAACTCGTAGTACGACATGCTGTTCTCGGCCCTGTCCTCCAACATGTGCTGAAAGAACAGCTGTCTGTGCTTGCTGTCATCCCTGAAAGTAAACAATGAGCATTAATGAGAGTATACAAACTGATGGACAGCAGTGAGATAGTATCATGGCCAAACTGCTTCAAATTCCATGGACAGTCAACATGAGTAACCAAAATGTTTTGAAAGAGGTGAGGGGCCGAAGACACTTTATCACTAACATTGGAAGGAGACTAAAAATGTTGCCATGCTGAGAGAAAAGGGAAACTGGAACATGTTGTGACACCTGGAGATATAGAGGAAGACGCAAGAAGATTTCTGAAAGTCTTTTGTTATGGCATGGAGGAGTGTCAGCACACATGCATGCTGTTGGAGATTTTAGGTTGTGAAAGGGAGAGAAAGAGCAGACTAAACAACTTAAGTGAAAGGGAAGAAAGAAGATTAGATAACTTAAGTCAAAAGGAAGAAAGAAGAAGAGACAAGATGGAAGACCAGACAACTTAAGTAAAAGGGGAAAGACAAAAAGGCAGCCTAGAAACATAAGTGAAATGCAACAAAGAAAAGAGATAAGAAGGAAGACTAGACAACGTATGTCAAAAGGAAGAAAGAAGAAGAGACAAGAAGGCACAATAAACAAGTGAAAGGGAAGAGAGCAGCCTAGAAGAAAAAAAGGTAATGCAAAATTGCAATTTTCGGCTATCCTCTGAATAACAGTCCTAAATTATTGAGGCATAAAAAAAAAACCTAACAGGGCCTCAGTCATATGTAAACTATAGACTCCTTACTGTACCATGCAGCAGCAGTAAGATTAATTTCTGGCGATAATTTCACAAAATGTGAAAATTATCATGGAACTATCACCATGGCAAGCAGACCATCAGCTAGTGGGACCTAGGTTTAACTTCTCCCCCCGGTCATGGGTTTAACTTCTCCCCTTGGTCCTAGGTTTAACCTTTTCTCTGGGTCCTAGGTTAAACCTTTTCTCTGGGTCCTAGGTTTAACCTTTTCTCTGGGTCCTAGGTTTAACCTTTTCTCTGGGTCCTAGGTTTAAAATTAGGGCAATGTGTATTACAATTACGAAATCGCCAACAGAATATGTCACAACAGTCCAACTGAGACACTAATGACTGAAGGGTTATGCATGCAACTGAAGCGGTGGCGACGTTACAAAGGTGGGACTAGTCGCACAATTTGCCGCCCGCCGATGGTGAAATCCTAATTTTACACACTAATGAGGCCCTGTTAAGGTTTTTCTTAGCCAGTTGAGCAAACATGCTGTGTTTACTTCTTGGTTAATTAACAAAGGAGTTGACAAGAGTACACATATAACAAGACACGCAACCAACCTGATCACCAAAAAAGTTACTCCATAAGGTCTTGAATCCATTAGGTAATTAACAAAGTTGCGAATCCTCTCCGATGTTGGGTTTTCCAACTCTGGTAGATCCATCTACAAATCAGAAGTATAGAACACAAATACACTTTTTTGTAATGAAATCTCCCCTTTTTCTTCTTCGTCTTCTCATTCACCGGTTATAAACTCTGGCTGGACTCTGGACTTCATTCCTGTTCTACTTGAGTTTTGCATACACATCTGTTTTACATATTTGGCTTATTTTGTTTCCTGCACTCTGACTTTGAAAGAAACACCCTTAATTAGTTGACTTTTAGAAAGCCACCAACATGGGCACAAGACAATTACCATATTATGGACAGACCAGAGTAATTATTTTACACCTTTGAACAGGACACAGTTGACTTTGCAGCCATACATACACAAAATTTAAGATTGGTGAATCAGCTATGTGGATTGGCACCTGAGACCACAGGTCACATAATCCAAGACTGTCTCAAATACAAAACATCAAGGCAAAACTTTTGGCCAAGAGAACACCAATGCAAGCCAAACTTCACAGGTCGCTGTGTGAATTACAAAAGACAGTGAAGTTCATCATACAAGAGACATCACTGCAGATATAGATAATCTATTTCAAGCAAATGAAAGGAGGAGAAGTAGACTTTTACAACATGTTTTTTTTTTTTTTGGGGGGGGGGGGTGTGCCCATTCTCTCCCCCTCCCCCTATTAATTAAGCCCCAACCTTGTGATCTCCCTCCCTCTCTTCCCTCCACACACAGTATTGCATGCACAAATTGTTTAGCACTGTCTCTTGTGGTCTCCTCCCCCTTCCCCCCCCCCTTTTCCTCCACCACAGTATTGTATTCAAAAACTGTTCAGCATCATCTCTTGTGGTCTCCCCCCCCCCCCTTCCTCCACCACAGTATTGTATTCAAAAACTGTTCAGCATCATCTCTTGTGGTCTCCTTCCCCCCCCCCCCCTTTTCCTCCTCCACCACAGTATTGTATTCAAAAACTGTTCAGCATCATCTCTTGTGGTCTCTTCCCTCCAACTTTCCCCATCATCATGACATGCTCTAGGTGGTTTTTGTGTGTCTCACAGTGTGCGCCCCCCCCCCCCCCCCCACCCTCCTCCAAATGTAGATTGCATTTATAAGATTTGGAAATCTATTCTTTTCCTCAATTTCTTTTAAACTATCTTCATTACATGTTTTATCTGTTTATGGTGTCTTTTACATTCACAAGTTTTCCACTTCTTTCTGAGTGGTCAACACTCCACAATACTGTTGACATCCACCCCAAGCGATTCGCTATCTTATCATCTACAGCTAAACTGAAGGAGATACTTTGGGATTATGAACTGCCATCATATAATCCCTAAAGCACAGATGTAAAAACGGTGATAATAGATAATGTGTGTAATATTTCGCAAGACAGACAGCCACATAAGTGATACTTACCATGCCTTCAGGTACTGACATAAAATTTGGTTTGCCAAAGACATCCTGGCACATCTGGTCTCCAATCCCACTTCCGACTAGCAAATACATGGCCTCTCCAGCATCCATGAGAAACAGTCCTGTGCGGTCGATATTTGCAGAAGACAACTGCAGTAAGGGAGCACTTGGGATCTCCTCTTTGCCACACTTAATTGGTTTCTACAGGAAACAACACAACACGTATACTTGACACGTAAGCAACAAATCTCTTGTCAATTTTGTGTCCAGCCCCTATTGTTCAATTCATACAAAAGGGAAAAACTTGTCTACAGGGTTATACAACAATGCAAAATATATTCAATCTGTGCAAACATTTTTATTAAACATTAAAAATACTATTGCCTATTATGTATAAATCTATGATGCAAGCATATCTTCTTCTTGTCTTCTTCAGCGATGTGTTTCAGGAAGATGTACTGATAAGCTGTGTACTTTCTGCAATCCATCAGATAAGTTAGTCTCTAATTTGTAAAATTATATTTCTTAAGTGCGGTCCTGGGTGGCAGCTGGTACCCAGACATTCTCATTAGACAGGCAAACAATCTTATCTATCTTGAGACGCGTTAGCGCAGTCGATAGGAGGCTCACTTTCAAATCCAGCTGCAACTCGCAGCAGCCACGGTCAGTGTTGGAAACCCTGCAGTTCCTGGGGTTCACCCAGCCTCTAGGAAATGGGTACCAGAGTTGACCTCTGGGGTAAATGGAGGAACGTTGCTGTAACTACTGAGTTACGTGCGAACGGCGACACAGGCTGTCTGTACTGGTGGCAGAGCATTTATGGCTTATAACCGTGTGCAATTACGCTGGTTCACATCTCCCGACTTTACCTTTACCTTTTTTTTTACAATCTTATCTGCTGATCTTTAAGGACATGTGTAACTGGTTTAAATCCCGGTCATCTTCTAATTTCTTCAGCTTTAATTCTATCATTTCTTGCTATCATTTACTTTAAAATATTTTGATGGCAATTCTAGAAAAATCTTCTTTTATTCTTATACTTTGAAGAAGAAAAAAAAACAGAAAACAAAAACTTGGTAACATACTAGACAACAAAGAGGAGTAGAGTTGGACAAGCACCCACCTCATCACTGAGTCGATGCAGGGGATACAGATGTGGGTGCAGGTACTGTAGCAGGTAGGACACGGGCAACACCTTGCACTGCTGCATGGCAAATACCCTGTCATCAATCTTTGTGTTTCCTGACAGGTTGAACGCTACCTGAAAAACACAATCATCAACCACTGAATGAAACATCTTAACTGTATGCATGCTGGAATTACAGACAAAACATCTCCATTCTATGAATGTTGAGATTATCAATCACTGGATGAAACAACTCAACTGTACTGACGTTGTAAATTACACAATCATCAATTTAAAATATTCATTGAGAATTAAAGTTACAGACCAGATGGGCTCGTATCTGCTGTAAAGTGTGCAAATGAATTATTATTTATTCTGTCTGCAAGAGATAACGATAGGCAATACTTGCCTAAGACTGACAATTTGTCTGTACATGGCATAAAGGTGTGCTGGGAAACACCGACAGATGGCTGGTCCAGCATTATTTGGTGGTAAACTGATGCATGACAAGATAGACGTTATCAAGGCCCTTTGGAAGCAAGTGAACAGTGTGGATGCACAAACAAATCATCATGGTGTGAAGAGAATGGTGCTGCATGGAGTGACCGCCTAGGGGCTCTGGCTTACATAGAACATTCAGAGGAAAGGTCAGATGGACAATCACCCTGTTGCTGGTACCATCAGAACTGAAACTCTGCACTGGATGCTAAAGATGGGGGTGGAGTGTTTATGAGAATGTCCGGAGTGCTATGATGTCAGCTATTAACTCAGTTCAACATAACTCTGTAGAGGTGCAAACAAGTGATCTGGTCTTCCACTCAATACTAAATGGAAAATCATGAAAAAAATATATAACTTGGACAGATACAATTACATTCTTATCTAACAGAAGTGAAAATATCACCATTTACATGGAAAACATATATATATATAGACACAAACACACCTGGCAGCTTAAGAATCTCAGATTTCTTTGAAGAAATAAAAACATCAGAATCTCAGAAATATACACATTAAAAGAAGAAAAAACCGTTCAGAAAGTGAAATTCCAGGATTGATAAACACCCAGCTAGCAGGAGCTGAAGAAGATCAAGGACTGAGACATCTACCACAGCAAATGTCTGGGGCATGAGTACAAACAATACAAACAATCTGTACACTGTACAAGTATCTGTGGTTTCTGTATACAATAATACACTTTATTTGTAAAAATGATCAGATTTTAAAATCTGCTGGCAGAATAATTCTCCAACTTACATGTTTCAACATGGCCAGAATAAATACTGGTACGAGGCGGAGAGAATATGGAGCCAAGAAGGCGCCCACCCGCTGGGAGGCTGGGATCTGTTGACTGAATGACACCAGGGCATCCAGGGATGCATTCATCATGGCATCACGGGCATCGGTTATCGAGGAGTTCAAAGATTTGTCAACAGCTGGTGATTAAAAAAAATATATATATGTTTACAGTAATGATGTCTATGTTAACAACACAGCAGCGTCTGTGGCTTAGGCATTACAAGTCCAATTCGTAATTCCAACTGATGGCTGCGCAAATGTTTATCATGGTATAGGGCGTCGCAGGTAGAACCAACCTAAAATGGGCACCAAGATGTAAGTCCTGGGGAAGTAAAAGACAGCAGGCGTAATGCTGACCACATTACCCACCTAGTGCCGATTGATCTGAAAAAATATGGCTGTTCTTTTTTATGTTAACAAAGTCAGCATCTGTGGCTAAGGCGCTGCGACTGTATCAGCTTAGCTGAGGACTGCTAAAGCATGACAGATATTGCAGTCATCATCAACAGTTACCATGGCAAAAAGCATAAGTGTGCATGTATCACTCTCAAAAAATCAGGATTGTGGTTTTGTCACAAATAAGCATCAGTTCAAGTCATCCAGGAATGACTTATTTGTCTTTAAACTGCTATTTACCCATCAAGTTTGTCAGTTGCCACTAAGATTTCAATGTTATTTCTCCTCATTATACACTCCACACACACAAATATATAATAATTACCCATTTTTGCTAGCAGCGCAATAATGGCTTGCTGGTCAGCGCCGGCAAACACTTCACTGATCTGATTGGTCACCGGCACACATAGTGTGTGTACTCGTATTCTTCGCTCCCCTGAAAGACATGAATGAGAAAGTGACTAACATATACCACACAGAAGATATACAATAACAGGGTGAACTGCATATTCTCATTCCTTCTGCTACGCCTACAACCAGTGCCAGAAATTGTTAGTCTTGTGATAAACGTGTCAACTCTGAATAAAATGATTATAATTTGTTACACTGTCATTTTCTTCTTCTTCTTTCTTTCGCTTGAAATAGATTATCTGTATCTGTTGTCTCTAGTATGAACTTTACTGTCTTTTGTAATTCCTTCAGCGAGCCGTAGTTTGAATTGCGCCGATGTTTCTCTTGGCCAAACATTTTGCCTCGATATGTTGTATTTAGGAGTCTTGGAGGACATGATCTGCTGTCTCATATTGGTTGCCTTACCTGTAAGGACTGTTTAGAATGAAGCTATTTTTTGGTATCCACAAAAAAGGTTGGGTCACATAATACACAAAATATTAGCTAACAGATGTCAGATCAGCAGATTTCCCATGTGGGTTCCAGGAACCATTTTAGGGGGAAAAGAACAGACCCACTGAGCCCCCTGCCCCCTTTTTGTTAAATAAGACTTGAATCCTGTACCCACGTGTTAACAATTGAGAATTTAACCACTACATTTAACAAGTTCCACCCTTTACAGTGGCATATAAATAATTAACAAATATTCTGGAAATTACCAATGACATTATATCTAATTAACTAGCATTCTGTCACTTATCTTCTTCTTCTTCACGTTCACCAGCTGTTCACTCTGGCGTAAAGTTCTGGCTGTTCGTCCACTTCTGGACTGCAGTCCTGCTCCAGAACCTGAGTGTTGCGTGTGCATCAGTTTTACGGATCTGATTCAATTGAATGCAGATTCCTTGCCTCTCAGGCAGATGCACTCCGACTTCAAAGGAAGCTCCCCAGTTAGTCGACTCTTACGACATGCTTTTGGGGAGGCAGTGGGTCTATTCTTGTTTTCTCCCATAATAGGGCCCTGGAACCCACACAGGGTTCTGTCACTTTTGAATCAAAAGTATTAAAATCTCAAACTCCCTGTGAGGGTTCCGGGGCCCTATTACAGGGAAAACAAGAATAGACCCACTGCCTGCCTAGCTAGCATGTTGTAAGAGTGGACTGAATGGGGGGGCTTCCTTTGAAGTCAGAGAGTATCTGCCAGGGGGGCGGGGGGCATGGAACAAACAATCTGCATACAGATAAGTGGGATCTATAAAACTGATGTGCACGCAACACTTAGGTTCTTGAACAAAAGACTAAAGTCTAAAACTTTCCGCTGGAGTTTACAGCTGGTGAACGCAAAGAAGAAGAAGAAGAAGAAAATCTCAGTTCACCTCAGAGATTCCCCATCTAACCACAGATAACAACAAATGTCCACTGACCTTTGCTGGATGTGTACAACAAAGCCGCCTGAAAGCTCACTGTGCTGGAATCCACTAGGTTATCTTCAATGGACATCTGCATGCCAAATCCTGCATCTGGGTTGATGTTTGGCAGCGATAAGAGGTCAGTGGACCTCACAAAGAAGTTTCCATGGAAGGTATGGATGCTTAGTCCTGAAACACACCACATCAACAAGGCATGTAAATAATGCTCAGATACAAGATACATTAAATATACTTGATGCGAGATCACAGCAGCTTGGTCTGAAAATCCATAAAGGAAAGACAAAGATAATGAGAATAAATCGGCAAATAGTAATGTGGTTTCTCCTAATGGCACCCCACTCCAAGACGTGGAGTCGTACACCTATTTGGGCAGTAATGTAGATAAAATGAGGAATTGATAGAGATATTAAAATAAGAATACAAAAGGCAAGAGGAGTTTTCATAGCACTAGGGAATTTGTGGAGATCAAATGAAATTAAAAGAAATACTAAACTAAAAATTTTTAAATTCTAATGTCAAATCAGTACTTCAGGGGGGGAAACATGGAGAACAACTAAGGCAATTACTAATCAATTACAGACATTCATTAACTGGCACCTGCGCAGAATAGAGGGAATTAAATGAACTAAACACTCTCCAGTGAACCAAGAGGTGAGGAAAAGAAGCTGGCATTGGATAGGTCACGCTTGGAAAACAGGAAAGCAGCATAACTAGAATGTCTTTGCATTGGAACCCACAGGGGCATAGAAATAAAGGGAGGCCAAAAAACACATGGAGAAGAGAGCTGGAGAATGAAGTTAGAAAGATGGGGAGGACATGGGGAGAGCTCCATGTAATGGCGAAGGATAGAACGACTTGGTATGAGTTGGTTGAGGGCCTATACTCCATTGGGAGATAGAAAGGTAGAAGAAGAAGACCACAGAAGCACAAATAGTTCTATGCAACACTATAGTAGAATGTCATACATATGCTATTTGTCATCTTAATGAGTAATGCACTGTCTGGGATTCAGTTCCTCTATGAAGTATTGCAGTCTCTGCTTCTCTTTCTGTGAGGTATTGCACTGTCTGAGATTACGTTTCTCTGTGGGATACTGCATTATCTGTACCTGTCGATTTGTGAGAGGTACTTCACCGACTGGGACTAACTTTGTGAGGTAACTTCTGGCCTTATCCCTCTACAATGGTTTAGCCTGTCTGAGATTTAGTACTGGGGGAATTACACTGCCTGATTTGCATCCTTTTGTCAGTTTAAAATTAAAATTTGAAAACAAATATATATAAGAACAATCATTTGACTACTTCTAAAAACCCACACCACCTGACAAGAATGAATCCAGGTCTATGCAGGTCAGATGCTGACATCAAAAACTCCCAACTGCTACACCACTGTGTAAACATGTTATCAGAAGAGTCTGAACCAGGTAGGAATTAAAATATCATTTCTTACAATGTTTGAAGCAAAAATGCTCAACACAAACAGAAATGCTTACCTCTGGTGCACCTGATTCTCATGACAGACTCAAACCCAATCTTCCTTGTGAGATACCTCCGCAGGTCAGTGTCAAACTTGTCCACAAGTCCAGGGTTCTTCACAGTATGGAATGAGGGATAGTAGTAGACGGAGCCTGCTGAATACTTGGATATGCACGCTGCAAGTGGACCAATATTTTAAAAACACAATCTTGGTGTCGACCACAAATGTTTTTAAAATGTTTATTATTATTATTTATTTTGCCTTACAAAAAATTTGCTCTGTGTGGTATTAAAACAGGCTTCTACTGGTGAGTATGCTTCTCTCGAAAACAGTATAATTTGTCTATGGTTAAGGTTGCCGGAAGAGAGCAAGAAGCACAAAAACGTATGTCTCCCTCCACAACTGAAGGAAAAACAGTGAAGAATATGCATCCTACAGTTGGGGATGCTATGATTCTAATTCTACAAGGCATCTTCAATTCACTGTTATGACTATCCCAAGATTACTAAAACAATTTGCCTATCCTTATATTTATCATTTACTTGGATATTGCATTTTAGTTTTTTTTTTTTTTCTTACTGGAAATGATTTTCATTTTTATTTGCTTACAATTTATTTATAGAAATGGTTGTTGTGTAGAATTACTGCATTCACGACATACTGAAGATCTTGTTCATTATCAACAATGAATGCCACAATAAGAGCATTCATGACATACTGAAGATCTTGTTCATTATCAACAATGAATGCCATATCAACTGCATTTATCTGTTGGCAATTCGTCTGTCTTCCAAATTTCTCACATTTTGTTGGGGAAAACATAAGTTTGACAAATCTTTTCAACACACATACACCTCTTAATTATCATCAATGTTTATGGCAGCATGTTGTTTCCAGTATATGCTCTCTATATGGCTACAGTCTTTCCCATTGTTTCTGCGATGTGCAGGAATTTTATTGTTGTGTCTTATCTATCAAAAGCCTTTGTGTAGTCAATGAGGTTTTCCTTTTTTTTTCTTTCTATCTAACACTCATTATTGACCCTGCAATCAAGACATATAAAACTGTTGAACAAAGGGCAATTATAAAATATATTTAGAGGTAGTGGAAGGATGCAGAATAAAATTACTCTCTGATCCATTTGGATACATGCATATCTTTATCATGCATAACAAGATTGTTCAAATACCAAGATTCATGCTGGATATTTCTCCCACTATAAGCAGGTGGCTTAGTTTGTTATGCTACAAGTCTATCAGATGATCAGGGTTGTAATCCCTGGACCATTACCTATTGGAGGAGAAATCTAATTCTTAGTTGTGACACTGTACAGTTATGGCACCTGAGAAAGTAAGCTTAAATCCTCAGCCATTCTTTGAGAAAGTAGGCTTAAATCCTCAGCCATTCTTAAACTTTCCTGCAACAGCATATGATAACAAAGACGGATTCTACTCTTAATTCTATATTAAAGACTTGATGCAAGAAGGAAAGAAAGTTGAGATGAGGTAGGCCTAGAAACACCTGAATCAAAATAAAACTGACAGAATGGTAGGCTTCAAATTTGAAAACACCAAGTCAAGCACATCAGATCACAATAAGTGGAAAAATGATAAAAAAATCAACAACACAGTGCTACAGGATTAGATATTTATAGGTCTATGAAATGATGAATTAGAGAAGAAAAGGATGAATTTTAACCCACACTAATTTAAAACATAAGCAGCAAAGGCCTGTTGAATCAACTGAGTGTCATGTATAATCAGATCAATACTAAATGATTAGAAATATGAATCCAAAGCACTTACATAAAGTGGCTATGTCTGCATACTGCCCATTCAACATAAACAAATCCACTGCAATTTGTTGTGCTGAACAATCAAGAGATAATTTCTTGTAGAAATCTGTTGCTGGACCAATGATGGATGTATTCTACAAAAAGAATGTAGATTAAACATTTATAACCTATAAAAAAAAGACCATATCACTATATATAAGTACAATATCAAACTTATCACAACAGTTACACTTTTGAAGTGGCTGGACTCATGTTGGATGTATTCCATGAACGGAACATGCTGGAAAGTTTGTAACCTGCATAAAGGCTACAAAACACATGCTAGTGAAAGCTGGAGTGTATCTAAGGAATATCGAAGGAAAGTTAAATGCATCTGAAAACAAATGCCTGAGAAAATGTGAACACAATATAGAATGAATTCAAGAAGGGTGATGTAATAAATGTCCGAGCAACCAGTGGTAACAATAGTTATTAGACAAAGAAGATGGCACTGTATTTGACATATTCTGAGAAACACATTAGCAGAAAACAACCAAACATGCACTAAAATGGGAAATAAAGGGATTGAGGAGGCAAGGACATCCAGAAGAAATCCTAAAACCAATAGCAAAGAGATAGGCCAAAGGTGATGGACTTGATTCCATCCAGGATATAGAAGGGACTGTCCAGGACAAAATGGAACAATGAGCCCTATGTGACATAAAACTGGCATAACAGGACAATAAAGATGATAAAGGCTATATGTCTATGTGTGCAAATCAACAGTTTCTGAAATATCACAGCACTTTCCCTCAAGTACCACAAGTGCAAAAAGTAAGTAGTAAAATATACACACACAAAAATAAAGTAAAGCACCCTTTTCAGGCCTGTGGCCCATGGAGCTCATGATGCTAGACTCCACTTTTTATAGCCTTCACTTTCCAGGATTTGAACTAGAACCCATTTTAGGCTAGGTCGACCTGAGAGTCAAGGTCATTTTTTGAAGAAGAAGAATCTGACTGTGGGGATTCAGGCCCAAGATGTCTGGGTCAACAAGCAGGGTGTACTAGCGGCTAAACTACTATGACTACTATGGCTCCCAAGAGTGAAAGTATTTTCAATTAATTCTTTCATTCCTATAATATCACAGCTGATACGCTATGCAGGCCACACACAAAAAGATGATAATGTCATAGGAATTCTGCATCCACAGGGGTCAAACACATAGCACACTAGGAAATCTGTGTGCGTTAGACTTCTTTAGTATACCCTGGCTAAATGTAAGATGCATAAACATACACAACATGGTGACTGATTGGCATGAATAGTATTCAAATACACATGGTACACTGTTAGGTTCTTAAAGAGTTAAAAACAGAAGTGAAAAATGAAATCTACATAAGAAAGTCTAAGAAGACAATGGCTCAAATATTGTAATTTACATCTTACAGTTTAATCTTATCAAAAACAGAAGATGTAGAAAGAAGGTGTTAGGTAGTTTAGAATGAAGGCAATTTATATCAGTAATGACCGGCAGTACATGAGACAGAAGATCAGACATGAAGACTTAACACCAGACAGAAATGAATCAATGCAGGCAAAGAAGGCTATGGAGATGCAAGTTGACTGAAACCATATGGCATGGATAAGACAATGTAAACAAACAAAAAAGATAAGCAGTCAGATGTGCAATGAAGTGCCAGCATCAGTAGCCTAAAGCAAAAATACACCAGAAACAAGTGTCTGTACCTTCCCTGCAATGTTTCCAGCATCTCTGTTCTGCAGAGCTCCAGGACCAGCTGTGGGTAAACACGTCTGCATGACTGTTATCCTTCCACCTGTCAGGCTCTAGTGAAGAAATCAAAGGCACATGTGAAGGAATTACCCAAAACAGAAATAAACAAAATGACTTATCAGTAATGGTCGTACACAGCTGGTCATCCCACAAAAACAGAATTAGATACCAAATAATTTTTTTTTTTAAGTAATGCAAACAATCCTCCCCTCCTTTTTTTTTTCCACCCACAAAAATTTTTTTTCAGCACTACCCATTATAACCACAACAAAATGTACGGCAGGCACTGTCACTGTTCCGCGCCGAGACAAATTTTTTGCTTCTGCCAGACGGTGGCCGTTGCATTTTTGATCCATTTGTAGACTGCCAGGATATAGTTTGGTCGCCCAGATACTGAGTTGAGTGCATGGCGCGACCCTTTTAGCAGCGGATTTCATTTGGAATGTTTTTTGACTGTGACCAAAGTGGTGTTGTGAACTGTAGATTTAGAAAATGGCGCATGGCCTGTCGTCGCAATATTGGTGGTGCACCTATGTGATTAATAATGATCGCGTGTGCAACTGCTGATCTGTTGGTAACTTTTGCTACCGTCAATGATGAACTACATTTCTAATGTTGGACTGTTTGTGTTAGCACGTCTGATGGCTACAGTATGCTTTTAATGCGTGTGTATGCTAATGTATATGCTAAGACAGCAGTCAGTCAATCTTTCCACAAGGGACTGTGACGAACATCCTGTGTGTTTTTTGTTGGCACAGGAGCGGAGCAACTATGGGGTGACCTGCTTGCTATGAAGCTGAAACTAAGATTACAAAGACACACATTAACAAGACACATTAAAAATACTTGTAATATATCTCTTAATATGCCGGCTTTAAAAAAATGGGTGTGACTAACAAATTACAAAAAATATTTGTTCATGTGATATACTTTGTCGGCTCACTGCACTCAGAGGAAAGGCAAGACGGACATATAACTAGATTGTGACCGGTACCATCAGTACTGGAACTCTGAGCTAGCTGCTGAAGATGAGAACGAAGCACCCCACGTGCTGTGATGTCAATTCTTAACTCAACTCAACTTAGTTAACCTTAATGCAGAAATTCATGTATCTGCAAACATACATCTTGTAGGCAGATTAGCTGAAGTCAAGCCAAAAAAATGCTCCTACCATTAGTTTATGAGCCGCCTGAAGTGCTGCCCCCAAGGCACTCCCTGTCTCTAGGTTCCCTTGAAATAAATTTGGCAGCTGATTAAGGAGGTCGACAATCAACTCTTTGCTCTCATGCAAATTGACTAGAAGGTTGTCAGGGCACGGTAAAAATGCATCTGAAACAATATAAGCAAACACTTTATTTTAAAACTGTAACAAATCAAACAAACACTGCAGGATAACTTAGTTTGCTGTAAAAATCGAAGAAAATATTTTAAATATAGCGATTTTTGACAAATCAGAGAATAGCTGCATAAATTAAAATAATAAGAATATTTTGTTCAAATATAAGGATTCACATTCAGTTGTACTAATCCATATGTACATTTGTACAATTGTATTGATCCAGATGTAATAGAAGAGTCCCAGACTTGGTTCTGGCTACAGAAATAAAGGCAAACTACCCAGTCAGTCCAGGACACTTATCCAAACAGCTGTAAACTGGCAGAATGTAGCAATTAATAAAATCTCTTATACTGGAAGAAAAGTTGAAGGCAATAGAGCAGTACAAATTAGAGGACAACATCAAGATATGGACACACAGTATTCTAAGAAATTGTGTAACCAAGACGAGAGATAGTGTGTTGGAGATCCACCGCATCCAACCTTCAAAGTGGGGATGGTACATGACTGACTTACTCTGGACTGTCTTTGCCTAACGACACTGCAATCTTAATCCCACTCTTAGTAGATCTTCTTCTTTTGTCATCTCACTGATACCAGGTTGCAGCCCAGTGTCGTGGTTTTCTGTATTTGTCTTGAGCTTCTTGAGTGGACTGGGTGATAGATTTGTTAATCTTTATCCAGGTTTCAGCCACACCATTTATTGATTTCTTTTTTGGTCTTCCCCTCACCTTCCTCCCAGATATTCGTCTTCTCCTTCTTTTTCAGCATTCCTAGCCCTTGAGGTTCATTGCTGCAGAAATCACCCGCCTCCACTCATCTCTCTGGTTGGTCTTCTCTTTCCAGCTGATGACACCAAGTTTTTGCAGGTCTGATTGGATATTATCTCTCCATCATCTTCTTGGTCTGCCTCATGGTCTACGACCATTCATCTCCCTCGTGTACACAGTTTTTACTTCTCTTTCATCTGCCATTCTTTCAATATGCCCCAACCATTTCAGTCTATTAGTCTAATCATGATGCCAGTGATCAGTGGTGATTTAAATATATTATGCACTTTAGTGTTGCTTCTCTCACTCCATTTACCGCTGTTTGCATCTTTGATGGGTCCAAAGATTCGTTGTAAGACTGTTTTTTGAAAACTCGTAATAAGGCTTCATCTCTTTTAGTTGTGCTCCAAGTTTCAGAGTCATATAAAACGACTTGTCTTATCAACGTTTTACATATTTTGATCTTAGTGTTGCGAGTCAGGCACTTTGACTTTAGCAGATGTTGAAGGGCATAGTATACTTTATTTCCAGATTGTATTTCTTCTCTCAGCTTGGTGGAGCAGTTGAAGTTTGCACCCAAGTACTTATATGTTTCCGTTCGTTTGATTTTCATATTATTAATTTGTATGTGGCTGGAGTTTATATCCTTTCCCTGCCTAGTTATTTTCATGTATTCTGACTTATCTTGATTTTCTGAGCTGATTATTTTAAGACATTCAGTGTTTTAATAGTCTCTAGTTCATTTTCTCAAACGATATCAATGTCATCAGAATATCTAAGTATTCTTGTAGTTTCTCCTACAGTTCCCAGATATTCTGCTGTTAAAAATCTCATATGCAGTTTTAATTGATCAACATTCTTTAAATGGGTCTTGGTCTAATAATGCCTCTCTTTTCAAGCACATTCCACTACAAAAGTTTATCTCTGTCTTTCTATTTGTGTTTTGTTTCTGTCAATTTTTATTTCTATCAATTCTCTATTCCTAGTCTTGAGCTGAACTGGTATATTATGAGGTGTGATCACATGAAACATGCCCCAAATGAATTGAATGCATTTCAGCAGGTGAGGCAGAATAAAACAAATCAACTGTTAGGAAGCCAGCATGGCTCTGAGGCTACCATAAGAAGTAATCAAAAGATGCACCAGGCATCACATTTTATCCACAACCAACGTCTGTTGGTGGGTGATGTGACCAACATCACACTGGCTGCCTTTACTGTCCAAGATATCTCCTAGTACCAGTTTAAGAGGGATCAACAGAAAGCCCAAGTCAATATTAAAAATTGTCTCAGTAAGGATTTAAATCCCCGACCAATAAACTGAAAGGCAAAATGGCAGCCACTGTACCACTCTGTACATGCCCAAGCTAAACTGACTCAATGAAAATCATGAAAAAGCATTCAGCTCACTTGCTGCCCCAGGCTAGCAGCTACACATCACCCAGACATCCCAAGCTTAGATAAAACATTGAGCTCACTTGCTGCCCCAGGCTAGCAGCTACACATCACCCAGACATCCCAAGCTTAGGTAGAACACTCAGCTCACTTGCTGCCTCAGGCAATGATCCAAACAGACATTTAATGATAGCAGATTAACCAATCAGTTCAAATGCAACAATATTTAACCACTGATTTTTGAATGAAGCATCAACAATTATTTCCTTTAATTAATGTAGCAAAACTGTAATTCTTAAGTAATAAGTAACAGTCAAATATATCTTTGTCAACTACACTACAGTTCCAAATAAAATGGTGACAATAAATTAAACTAAAATGTAGTGAAATCCCAGTTTCAGATGTTATAGGGTTCTGTTTTTATTACTGATTTTAACTGGTAGTTACTAGTCCTTGTCTGTGACTGCTTTCTTATAGGGAAGAAAAGAACAGACCCACTGCAATGTAACAAGCAATATGTCATAAAAGGTGACGACTAATTAGGGATGTTTCCTTCTAAGTCGGGGTGCATCTGTCTGACAGGCCAGGAACCAACAGTCTACTATCTACATACAAATCAGACAAATGTGTGAAATGGATGTGCTTGCAAAGTTCTGGAGTAAGACTACAGCCCAGAAGTGGACAAACAACCAGAACTTTCCACCGAAGTTTACAGCCAGTAAATGCTTAAAGGAAAAAGATATCTCTGACGACAAAACTTACCTTCCAGATCAGGCACACACAGCATCTGTGGCTGAGAAAGATTCTCTGCCAGGTTAAAGAAATACAGTGAACTATCGTAACACAGAAAGCCAATACTTGTGCGTGCATCTCCTGGCAGTTTATCCAGCTCGTCCAATAAGATCTGGCTGAACTGTGATAAGTAACCTTGGAAACAGAATTACACAAAATGAAGCTCATCCACTGTGTATTTTTGTCAATTGAACATGTGCCTCAAATAAAGCACAAACATTTTCACCTACTAATACAGCCAAATCAGGTTCAGTCTTAAGTGAACTGCCACACAAACACAGCTTTAAATCTGTGTGTGTGTTTCAAAAGCAAGCAAAGAAACGTCTTATCTCTGACTCTGAGGTGTGTGGTGCATTGGCATATGATGCTGGACTCATAATTTTCTAGATCAAGCTGCACCTGATGGGTGATGTGGTCAGCATCATGCTGGCCGCTTTTACTTCCCAGAACATTAGCTGATACACCATTCTGGCTGAGCTGACCTGAAAACGAAGGATAAATTTGAAAAACAATATGGTTCCTTGCAGATTCAAACTCAAGACCTTCAGACCAGAAGGCAAGTGTCTAACCTAACCACCTTACAACCACAATATGAGTATGTGAAAATGTAGTATAACAGCAGTTATTAGACCTTTAAGAACATAATTGTAAAATCAAGCACACAGCATTTAACTTTTAATAACAATATCAGCCTTATGTTTGATTTCAGCATAAGTCCTGTCTTTCTAGCAGTATCACATTGATCCCCTAAATGGTCTAGTTTCTAATGCAGGCTGTGTGTTCCATCATTTCATCCATGGAAATTAACTCCCTGACCACATAAAGATAAGTTTGCTCCTACAAAGTAAAGGCAGGCAAAATCCATCACAATCAAGTCTCAAAACACTGGATATGAATGTAATTTCACAAATGCATTCTTCTTTTTTCTTCATCTTCTGCCTTCCGAGCCTCAAGGTTTGATGCTGTAGACAACTGCCTCCAGTCATTTCTGTGATTGGCATTCTCTTCCTGTTTAGTGACCATACATGTGTGTAGGTCTGCCTAAATATGATCTCTCCGCCATAGCAAAATCATTAATTAACCCTTTGGAGACGATGTGGCCTAAATATTAGCTCAACACAAAGTAGCCAAAAGGACGATTGGGCAGATCGGTCAGCCCTATATAATAGAAGCCTTGATATTGCCTGGCAGGTTTTCGTACCAGCCAATCAGACTGCTTCTCACATTTCTTGCACATGTGGGCTGTTCATTGACAGCTTTCAAGAAAGTTTAATGTGTTCTGAAATTTTACATCCATATTTTTCTGTGGTTACCTATGCCCAAAAATGGTGAAAAAGACTTGCGACATAGCAACCGAAACATGGCTAGAGGCAGGAAAATGAGTAGAACCATGTACCAGACGTGTCTGAAGGGCCTCCAAGGGCCTTACTTCCCAAAATAGAGGTGTTAGAGACTTATTCAAGCTTCATTCATAGAAAAATTCACCCACATTTTGTTTAGGTTAGTTATGTTTGTTCCCAAGTTTAAAAAAATGGTTTGCTTTATGCATATCAGAATAGTTAATTTGAATAAATGTTGAGATTTCAGTTTGATTCATAAATATTCTGTTAGTTCATTAAAATTCATAAACGAATATACAGTTTTGTAAATGTTAATTAAACGCTTTATATTTTTATAATTTTGTGTGTATAAGCTATTATAATACCCTCCTGAGGGCTCCTTGCTTCTTGATACTGAAACTTTAAAAAGGCTCCATCTCCAAAGGGTCAACCTAAAATTCTCTGTTATATATATATATATATATATATATATATATATATATATATATATATTTTTCTTTTTACATGTCCCCAGCAGAATGTAGAAGAAAAGAAGCGTAGATGATGATGTTTTAACTTTTTAATGTCAAGACAACGTTTACCAAATCAGCAAACATGCAGGACAAACACACAACAAAGACTTTTCAATTCAGATGACAGCACTCACCAGTTTCTACAGCATTGAAAGACACATCCAACAAATACAAATAGACTGCAGGCTGGGGCGGTCTCAGCTGTGATGGGAGAACCAAAAACAATAAACTGTTGTAACTTTTGCATGAAGCTAAATGAAGTGTTCTAGTCCTTGTATGCACTAAGTTTTGAACAGCCTACTGTTATAGCACTTCTTCAACCTTGCTGGTATCCATGGGGAGACTTTAAGAAGCTTAAACATAGCACTAGGTATAAATGGTTGTAGTACCGAGACTTCTTCCTCGTTAAAGTAAAGAGTGCTGTTTTAGTTGTTGCTGTTGAATGCAAATCTACTTGGGTGGGATTGGCATGCCATGTTTATTGTTTGCAAGTAACTAAAAGTAAATGACATTGTCCGGGTCCATGGTGCATTGGACATATGGTAAAAACAAAGGAGCCTTTTCACACTTTAGAGCAGTGGTCTCCAACCTGGGAGGGCCCCCCCCCCCCCCCCCCCCCCCAGGGAGGCGCAAGGAGGCATCAAGCAATTTTGAAAAGGAGTGTATTTGTAATACTCAATTATATTATTATTTTATTTTGAATATAAATAAATAAAGTAAAAAATATTTTTTTAAACTTTTTAAAACAAAAAGCCAAAGACATTTTGTTTGTTTTCATAAGCAGTTTGTTTATCTACAGTTACAAATCTAATTAATATGATAACACAGATATTGATAGATTTAGAAAATATTCTGACCAAAACATATCTTCACACTGTCTTGCTTCTTTTGTTGCGGTTTTCCTCTTTCTAATTCATTAAATTATATTTTGTTATGATGGTGGGTGGCAGGTGGTTGTTATATGCTCAAGGGGGCTTGGGGGTCTTGCCATATTCTCAATGTGGCTTCAGGGTATTGTCATATACTCAATGGGGCCCCAGAGTCTTGCCATATGATCAAGGGGGCTTGGGGGTCTTGCCATATACTCAACTGGAGCTCCAGGGTCTTGCCATATACTCAATGGGAGCTCCAGGGTCTTGCCATATACTCAATGGGAGCTCCAGGGTCTTGCCATATAATCAAAAGGGGGGGGGGGGGGGGGGGGGGGGGGGGGGGGGGGGTGCCAGGGTCTTGCCGTATACTCAATGGAAACTCCAGGGTCTCGCCATATACTCAATGGGAACTCCAGGGTCTTGCCATATACTCAATGGGAGCTCCAGGGTCTTGCCATATACTCAATGGGAGCACCAGGGTCTTGCCATATACTCAACTGGAGCTCCAGGGTCTCGCCATATACTCAATGGGAGCTCCAGGGTCTTGCCATATACACAAGGGGGCGTGGGGGTCTTGCCGTATACTCAAGGGGTAAAAAAAAGGGGGGGGGGGTGCAACCTGAAGAAGGTTGGAGACCACTGCCTTATAGGGTATATAGGGCTAGACCTTTATTCAATGTTTTGTATAGACCAATGGGCACTCAATGGGTGAGGTGGTCAGCATCATGCCAGTCACATATTTCCTGGTAGAAAGCCAGTCAGTTATAAAAATATCCATCTTGATGCAGATTCAAACCCAAGACTTTTGGAATGAGAGGCCAGCACCCAGCTACTGTAACTTCCAATATATGAGCCAGTCAACACAGCACGCTTCAGGATTTACTGCACTAGCACAACTTATATGCCATTTCTCTTTCTCTCTGTCTCTCGCTCTCCTCTCACATCTACTGATTATAACACACACATGCACACACAAACAGGACTGGATGTGAAAACAAAGAGAAGACAAATTTAAGAGAAGCAGGAATCAAAATGGAATGAATATCTTCTTCCTCCTCTTTTGAAGATGTAATTGGGTTGTGTCATTTACAGCATGGCTGCGATATCTGTGCCCTATAGGCGACATATCCCACTTCATCAGGCATTTGTTAACTGGGTTAGCCTGCCCAGTGGAAAGAATTTCAAAGCCAGCAGATAGTTACAATTTTTTTTTATATTAGTTTTTTCAGGGTTCTTATAAGTAAAGGCCACAACTACATCCCGACCTAGGTAAGAGGTCAAGCTCCTACTATACTAAGCCATTTCTTCCTCTAAAATAAAGTCAGTTTGTCTTATTTACCATGTATTCAGAAGGAGCAATAAACTCTATTGTTGCTGACTTCACTTCAGGCCGTCGCTGGGGGTCACCATAGGTTTTAGTAACTGGGTCAAAGGAAAACTCATCAGGCACTGAAAGAGAAAGTTCAAACCTCATTAACAGCATTTCCAGTTTCAGCTATCACATGCGGTTGTTTATATAATGTGGCTGTCAATATAATATGGTTGTTTCCATATGTTGCTGTGTATAAAATTGTAGCTGTTTGTGGTCTTACTAGGCAATTTTACATTCAGTAGTTTGCCTTGCTGGCTAGTCAACCTTCCATTTAATTTCAAACTCAATGCGAAGCAGTCAGATGCCAAATCACCTGCAGCCGAATGTCTGGATATTTCAGAATTATAAACCATGTTCTTAAGCCATAAATGTGACTGACAGCATAAACCCCCAACCTGATTTATAAAAGGAAATCGGTGTTTCCATACAGCAGAACAGATCAGCTGCAAGTTTCACTGTTAATTTATGTCCCAGCTTTACCATAAATTGCACTTATTAAATGTTGAGTTATGTTGATTCAAAAACCAACATCACAGCAAATGGGGCATTCCTATAAGCGCTCCGTCCACATCTTCAGCAGCCTGTGAAGAGTTCCGATACTAATGGTGCCAGTAGCATTCTGATTAAACATCCGTCTTGCCTTTCCTCTAAGCCTCGAGCATCTGCCAGTACCTCTCGTCACTCCTGGCTGCATCAATCTCACCAGACTGGTGATCCAACTGCTCCTCTGAACCGCACATGCTCTTCCACAAGGCCCTAACCACATCTACCTTATCATGCATCAGTATTCCACCAAGCTGCGCATAGCCAGCCCCAGTCTGTCCGTCACTCTGCACAAAGCATGTCTGTCCTGACCTTCCTCAACATGCTTTCTGAGTCAGTTACAATAATCACTATGTGTGTGTGTGTGGTGTTCTCTAACCAGCAGAAAGCTGCAGTAACCACCTCCACTCTTAAGCCTGATGTTGTGGTATCATATCTATTTAAATGTACTAATAATTAACATCTTAGTCTATGTGGTAGGGCAGGGCACCTCAGCTCAGTTTGGGCAGGTGCCACAATTTTGAACAGGGATGGTGATGGGCCACAAGCCTGAGCTTTATCATAGAAAGATCACAAACACAACACAACTGACAATGACCAGTGGACCATTTGCTAGATCTCAGCAGGTCAGATTTGGCCTGGGGGCCACCTGTTGAATATCCCTGGCGTAAGGAGTTATGAATGCAGTTTTAAAATCCCAAAATAGTTGGGTTCAAAGCCAGCTTAAGGTAATTTTTTACAGCAGACTGCTTTGCTATGGTTTTGACAAGGGTATGAGCGTCATACTCTTCAGACAGTAACAATAAATTACTGAGTGTAAAATGTCTAGAAAAACCATAACAGCCAACAAATGCTGGGAGTGGTTTTGAGATAGACAAGTATCTTTAATATATTTGAAGGAACGGTAATATATTGATACAACTTTAAGTTCAGTTTGGGATAATACACACTGAATCAATACAATGTTTTAACAAATGTTATCATAAATGTAACTTACAGTCATTGACCCTGAAGCAAAGGTTACACTTCCATCGTCGCTGGTCAACAAACACAACAAAGGGGTTAATGTACGTCCGGCATGACCGACACCTCACAATTACACTGGACTGAATGACAGGCAGTTGCTATAGAAAATAAATGGAAGAACAATACCAGTTATACTATTTATTCTGAAATCACTGTGCAAACTGGCAATGTTCATATAATCTAATAAATAAGTAGTCAGCAGACGTCCGCTGAATTAGAAAGTCAGACTGAGTTTTGGACATAGCAGATAGACAGCAGAATGGATTGTATTTCTGAGAAATGCAAATAACTAAATTACAACATATGAAAGAATATGGGAATGAAAAGAGAGTTGTTGAAAACATTTTTTTTTTAAAGAGATAAGTGAAAATTTTGGCCCCAATAAAAAATACTATTCTCTTATAAAGACAAAAGTGCAGAGAAAAGATGTAGGCAAATGATGGTTGTACAAACTGGGTGTGTGCATGCGTGTGTTAAGAGATTCGTTGCAGCAAGCTTTCACTATGGACTGAGTCTGAGAGCTATCCTGGGATGACTGCTGCAGACGACAGAATATATTGGAATGCCCAGTGTGTGCTTACACTGAATGTAGTAATATCAGATAAACAACTGAAAACTAATTCTGATTCTTGTTTATATTTCATCACAAGTATATTGCATACTATCTTGGCTCCAGATTTAACAGTCAAGATTCTTCAAAAGCAGCCATAAAGGGTTGAAACAGCAGAAACAAATTTATGGCACAAAAATCCAGAAACAAAAAGTGAACTCTTTTAGGACAAAATAACAAATTTTTTTTTTAAACTTATGCAATATAAGGATGTGAAACAAACAATTTTAGAATTAGAATATGAGAAAATCAAGGATTCTGAACTTTAATGCTTCAGAAAAAAAATTGGCATCCAACAAGAACTGAACATCAAAGAAAACTAGCTCATAAAACCAGAATATCTCCTAAATGTAAACAGACTGCCCATCACAGGTCCTGTAAGAGGCAGGGGTTCATTAACATCATCGTGGACAAATGACATTAAAGAAAGTCAGAGCATAAAATTACTTTAAGGCAGTGGTTTGCAATAAACTAAGACCTGCTGACCTTTTTTATTTTCTGATGTTGGCTACAGATTCCATATTTTTTAACATTCACAACGAAGAACTTTTTATATAAATATCAGAACCGCCAAATAAAATAAAATAATTTTTTTTTCTTAACAAAATGATATTAGGAATTCCATTTTCTTCCATGGGCCTGCAGACAACCAAATGGGAATAACAGTTTCAAAGCAAGGAACTGGCAGAAGATCGAGTCTGTCTGGCAGGCTGTGATAAGAGCAATTTTCTGCAAATGACCTCCAATATATATGATGTGATACTGCATAATGTATTGTATAAAAATGGCAACAAAGTATGTCTCTCCCACTTCCCATCTTTTCCTATTTAAAACTATTTGGGGGGGGGGGGGGGGGGAGAGAGAGAGAGAGAGCTGGAATAGCAGATAGATATCCCAATTTATGAATTAATAAGCAATGTCCCACCCTGTCAACTCATGTTTTGGCTAAGAATAAAAAATGTTTTTCAATTCTGACAATTTTGTGAACTAAATACCAGAAAATATATGCCCAACTTCATATTTCAAAAATGCTTTCAAGTCATGCAAATGTGCTTATGTATATTATAAATAACTTACCATGAACAACACTCAAAAATGTGTAGACTTAATTTATCAACATGAAACAGTCAATATAAATTTCAGGTACAGACCATTTCTGTAACACAGCTGGAGAAGAGGAATACAGAAACTAGCCTTGGGACAGGAAACAGCAAAGACAGGAAGCTGTAGCAGATCCAACAGTGAGCAACCAATAATAGTTTCTTCCTCCACGTTTGCTTCAAAAATTGTGGCTAGCACACTGTGTTGTGATTTACAGCTAGGCTGTGATATCTGTGCCAACACTTCAGATTCCTGAGAACTCCTAATAAGTCACCTTTTATGACATGCTTGAAAGAGGAGTTCAAGGGTCCTCCCTCCCCCTGGGGCCCAAAAACCTACAACTACTAAAACAAATGTTTTAGCAACACCAACCAATTTCAACAAATTAACAAGTAGAGAGCAATGAAGAGCCATGAAGGCGTCTGCTTTAGACCATGCAGATGAAGCAGTGTTTCATAATATCCCATCTTGTTATATTATTTGTGTGCACCGAAAGCGACTGTGACATGTGTAGCCTGTGTATGATACTAACACCTAAACACTGGCTGTTACAATGTTTGTACTTTAATATTTAGTGACAAGAAAACAATGTCAAAGACTTAAGTATGGGAACCCAACAAAACAAAAAAATTCTAAAAATGTCATATGCCCTCTATTGCTTAATATGAAGCAGGTGTGGGAAGGAGAGGGAGTTGGCAGAGACAGTGGGAGGAAAGAAGTGTGTGTGTGGTGGGGGAGGGGGCGAGAAAGAAAGAGAAACAGAGAGACAGAGGGAGAAACAAGAGAAATATACCTTTAACTGATTTAACAGGAATTATGTGATGCAGTACTTTACATAACTATCTGACACCATAACGCTTAGTTAGGTTTCTATTAAAAATTAAATGTCCGATGCACCTCTGTATCACCAAAGAAATGAACCCCACTAAAAATGCATGTCCCCTTTGCTAGTGGCAAGGCAAGTGGTACCTCCAATATTGAATGTGATATACACTACCATTTAAACAGGTCCGGTGCCAAAACCTGTGGTGTAGCCGCTAGGAACTCATCTGCGGATCGGAAGGTCGTGGATTTGGGTCCTGGTGGAGCAAGACTTTTTTTTAAATGACCTTGGCTCCCAGACTGACACAGCCTGAAATGGGTACCAGGTAGATTCCTGAGAAGTAAAGGCGTATCACCATTTCACGCTGGTCTACAAAATATAGGTCTCTCCCTATGTTCCCAATATGCCTGAACATATGGCAGCCAATGTTACACATAGGTGAAGTATTAGGGCTTATCATTATTAGGTTCTTGTTTATATGATATGGGGTAGTTAATTCCTATGCTCGCCATCCTGTCATTCTTAAAGTTTCCAGAAAAACCTATTTTACTGGGTAAGGTTGAACCCTAGACCCAAATAAGTTTAAATAAAAATGTCCACCAGTGGTGTCACATAACGCGTCTGTCACATGTCTTTACTATAGTACAACACAGGTAAAGATTCTCAAAGGAAAATTACTTAAGATGACAAATCAAATGACTCTACTGAATAAAGAACTGAACTATTCTAGAAAGACTCCTGGTCTGCCTTCAACACTTCACAACTCATCATGACACTGATCCTGTTGTGATGTGGGTAAAAGTGGGCACCAAGTGTCTGGGGTGGCTGCAATTCCAGTTGAACCCAATGGACTTATCAGTAATGGGCTTGATCCTCTCCACAATTCGTAGGCCGGACTTCAATCCGAGCAGCGATGGAGAAGGTGTTAGGCATCAGCTCTTGTGATGAAACTTCCTCAGGTACTATGCAATAACAATTAAATGTGCTGAAAGCACTTACTGTTCATGTTTCAAAATATGGATAGGTTCCCTGAATACAATAGTCAAAGATTCACTCATCAACCTGCAATACTCTGGTTGGGTTTGGCAAAAGAGCAGATAATGGACCCTTAATATCTGCAACTGATGATGATTTGCTGGTACAAACTGCCATATGTCAAGTGTGACACCAATTGTGACCTTCTGTTACTTCACCACAGAGACTGGTTTCAGGTGATCATAGGTACTGCTGTACTGTACTGAGGTAGGTGCTTTTGGATACTGACATGGGATGCAGTTGTAAGACAATGGTATGATATAACTTGTGATTCTGACTAAGCCTCCAGAAAGGTCAGTATGCATCCCATGCTCATATGAAGTTCCCGGGTGTAACGGAGACTTTCAAAGAAGGTACTGAGAGACTTTCAAGACAAAGGTGAAACCCGTCTATATGCTCTGGATGATGAACATGGATGAATCTATTAGTTCAAATCTGCCCGAATCAGAAGCAGGAAGATTCCTTCCACCAAAAGTGGCTGTGGTTCGACCAAGGAATTTGGCTTCAATAGACTTAGAAATCACTTACCTAAGAGTGAATTCATATCATAACTCACTCCCAAAAGAATTAGGAATAAATATAATCCTTATACCAACATTTTGACACATAAGTACAAAAGAAGGACTATTTACACAAGGAGGAAAGTCCAAAATTTGAAAATAGCTCATTTACATATCTGTGTGCAAGATATGGGTGAATCAAACTGCCTAGGGGTGTTCTGCTATTATTTGACAAGTGGTACGTCCTCTCGCCCGCACATGACTCAAATGACACCTGGCTGGTGTAGCTTTTATTGTGCCCTAATTATAAAGTCTTTTGAGGTTGAATGGGGTATCTGGGACAGAATTGTTAATGGAATGGTAAAACTTTAGGTAGCAGCCCAGAGGGGACAAACTGATCAATCCATCAGACCAGCAGTACTGAGGATCAAAGCCAGCCACTACCTCGGTGAGCAAGTTCACTGACCACAGTGTGCACTGACCACAGTGTGCCTGTGGCATTTGCTATACAAGAAGCTATAAAAATATCAGCTCTAAAAAAGTCTCATTCAAACAATCAACACCCAGCCACCATTACTTCAAATCCAAAAGGCCTATAATTTAAACATAATAATATATAAAATGCTTAATTATGAATGGCCCTGCACAAAGCAGTCTATCTACACCCTCAAATAAGGGAAGAAAAGAGAATAGATTCAAGGCACCAGAAAAACCAAGTAATTTACACGTGAGCTACTTACTCCATACTCTTCTTCCTGCAATGTATAAATGTTTTATATTCTGTTACACCCACTGATAACCGCTGACAAATATATGTTTTACATAGAAAAATATGATTTCTGAACAGCAACATGTAAGCAAATAGGAATGATTAAAAGCAAGACAATGTGTGTTTTGATAACAAAAGATGGAAGCTGTATTAAGGAAGACAAATGTAAAGAAGCAAAAGCAGCACTTCACAAGATGAAGAGTGCTCTATGTATTATATCTCTGTCCACAAGATGAAGAGTGCTCTATGTATTATATCTCTGTTCACAAGATGAAGAGTGCTCTATGTATTATATCTCGGTCCACAAGATGAAGAGTGCTCTATGTTTTATATCTCTGTTCACAAGATGAAGAGTGCTCTATGTATTATATCTCTGTCCACAAGATGAAGAGTGCTCTATGTATTATATCTCTGTCAACCCAGGTGACGAATTAAAGACTATTTGGAGCCAAAGCTGCCGTATAGAAATGGGTACATGAGAGCACAGTGATCAGGTAAAAAGAGTAATAAAGATGTCTGGAAAGAAAGTAGGCTCACAAATAGACCTGGTCACTCACATCAGAATAAGCCAGTCAACACACTTGAGAAAAGTAATGAAAAAGGGAAAAATGGAGTATGTCAGTGCACCAGGAAAGCTGCAGTGGAAGGGTCACACGGGGAGACCAAAAGAGAAAATGTTAGTTTGGCATCATGGCATCGTGAAAAGTCTGTACCAGAAATGATATGGCAGTAAACGAGACAGAAGGTCATAGACAGGCATGATGAACTGTTGCACATAACTCGGTCACTCAATCTACAGATAAACCGGGAAGGTATACAACTGAAGGAAAAGTAGATTATATAACCGCACCCATTTGATACAACATAGTTAATGATAATATATTATGGTGATCAATATAGGACAATTCAAAACACAATTGAATATTTGAAATCCTGACAACAAGAATGGAAACATATTGCTTCATCAAAGAAATGGCATATGGAGTTGGGAGGGAGTAGAAGGGTAAGAGGTTTGTTTTTTTTATCTAGCGGGCTGTCAGTTTCTAATTGTCTGTTGTCTAGTTGTGCCCTCTAGTATCTACTTTCTATCTAAAACGGATGTTTCTATTTGGTAGTGTCTCATCTTTAGAATCTAGCACAGAAATACAGCATAAAATAAATTACTAGTATGAGGTATGAACATGAACAGAGAAACCAAACTACAGAAAAATTATGTAAATGACCAAATAACCACTACGGAATATGAACTTGTACTTACCGACAGGTCTCGAAAGGGATGAATCAGAATTCCTAAGGGCAATCTGGCCTTACTGAGCAAAGCAGAATTCTGTGGCAATGCATTTAGAGTACATCGAAACACACTGTAACAGAAATCACACATATTTTGTTATGCAAGTTCTTTACTGTTCATTCACTCTTTCCAATATTACATATACATTACAATAACAAGAAGATTAGTAAAATACACATATAATCAGACTAGATCTAGCACTAATACAGCAGTATGGAAATCTGACCTGGCTTTTAAATTTAAGGACAGAGCTAGGAATGCCCTGAGTACAGTTGTGTCAGTTCTCAACTCTAAACTCTTGCGATTTCCTTTAAAGTTGAAGGAATCAACGGTCTGAATATAAATAAGCCAGATCTATCATATGTGTGTGCACGTAAAACTCAAGTTCTGCAGCAAAACCAAAGTCAGAAAGTGGAAATAAACCAGAACTTTCTGCCGGAGTTTGAAGCTGGTGAATGCTAAGAAGAAGAACTCTTGCAAAAGAAGAAAATGTAGACATTCTGAGGCAGGCTGAGCTTAAATATCTGACCACTTTGATAATGATAGATATGAACATAATGTCCAAGTCTAGATGATGAGCCGAAGCCTAATGGCACGAATGTAGCAGTTTAGAATTCAACAGACATAGCACAAGCCAGTTACCTCAGGAGAAATGAGGAATAAAAACTTGAAGGAAAAAACATGCACGTACGCACATACACACATAAAAGGCTAAATACACTGATTACTGCAATATCTGATTTAACCAAAAGTTCTTTAATACGATTTGGTACTGCATTAGCTAGAAGCTTGCTTGCCTGCGCAAACGCCTAGCCTTCAAATTAACATCAAAGAGGATATTTTCTTTTCAATAGGAATTTAGCTCCCAGGTCGATCTAGCCTAAAACGGGTTACCCAGGTAATGTCCTGGGAAGTAAAGGTATCCGGTGTGATGCTGACTACATTACTCACCAAGTGCCAATTGATCTATAAACAATATGAGTCTGCTATCATATGTACCACTGGCATAAAACAGTCTTTTATCTTTTTTTTTAAAACTACAGTCTTTAACACAAAATCCATGTATCTGTTATTTTCAACAAGTTTCTATGCGCTGCTACAAACACAACAATCGCTTAATATTAACATTTACTGTAGCTATTTCCTTTGAGTATGTAAATATTTGTTCATTCCTCTAAAAGAATGAGTTTGAAAAAGACTATATTTCGCTGTTACTGCCCAAGCTTCAAGTCTAAAAGGAGACAAGGAAATAACGTCTTTTTCAAACTCATTCTTTGAGGGGCACACAAAATGTGTAGGTACTCAAGGGAAACAACTCCAGTGAAAAGTTAACTTTTAGTAGTGGCTAGACTAGACCAGTGTATCATAAAGTGGACTCTACCTCCCCCTTGGGGATGCTGAGGCAGCTGAGAAGGGGGCGAAGAAGGTAGCTTCCTCGCCAAAATTAGGGAACAGCTCAAGGGGCGGTAGGAGCCTCAGGTGCAATGAATAAACATAAGGCAGCAGTGGAGAAGAACTAGAAGCTGAGGAAAAAATATTTTCATTAACGACCCCAGCAAAGTGTGGTTATTAAATCTAGTTTAATTATACAATAAAAGCCACATAAAATTATTACAACTAATAAACATACTCTGGGTTGCAGTTAACTTTTTTTAAATCATTGGGCAGCACTGGCTTTGCTGTCTCTATACCTTCCGGTGGGATCAGCTGTCTTTCAGTTAACAAATTGACCACTCGTTGTGACTCCTAAGAAACAAAATAAAGAATAAATGTTGCTTCAAAATTATTATGCAGAGTGGAAAGTCTACCTAATGCTTTATTAAAGTCTGATCTATTCTGTGAAATTTTTCTATCACTTTCCTTCTGCAGAGAATAGTCTTTCTTTCTATCCCTCTTTCTCTCTCTCTATATATCTCAGCTGTAAAAGAGCACTTTGGGTCTCATACTCTCTCTTAAACATGATATCACACCAACACCTCTTTACACATTCACAACTATTTTTATTCTTCGCGTTCACTGTGTAAATTCCGGTAGAAATCTGGCTGTTTGTCCACTTCTGGACTTTAGCCTTTATTTCCATAACTTGGGTTTTGTACACATGCGTACACAACATGTGTTTTACAAATCTGGCTTTGTATGCAGGCTGTTGGTTAATGCCCTCTGAGTGAAATTTCCCCATTTAGTCACCACTTAAAACATACTTATCAGGGGGACATTGAGATAATTTTTCTTTTGATTTGGGAGGGGGGGGGGGGACCCTCCCGATAATAGGAGCCCCAGTCCACACAGGGAATTCACAATATAACTCTCTGGAGGTTTCCATGGTGAAGTGGTCAAGCCCTCTGCCTCGTGCTCTGAAGGTCATGAGTTCATTTCACGGCTGCATCATTCAGTTCATGGGTGCAATTTTACCAAGATCCCTGGGGATTGTCACCGGAGCTACAGAGTTTGGGCTCTGTACGATTCTCCTGGCAAGCAGCTAGACATTTTGCTAAGAGAGAGAGAGAGAGAGAGAGATAAAACCCAGTGCAATGAAGTCGATCCACTCGACTCTCAAACTTTAAATATAAAACTCTCTTTCTCTCACATATACTTTCCGTACATGCACACTAACCATTACTCACAAGCTTGCACACTCTCCATCTGCACTCTACCCACTTCAAAAATTTCCTTATCTCACAATAAGCATGAAGTACATATTCATGTTCTCTCTTTCTCCGCTCAAGAGGAGCAAGCATTTGAATCATGATCAGTCAAAGCTCCATCTCACACTAAGACCTTAACTCACAGTCAGCACAAACTCTCTCTTTCTCACCTCAAAATATCAAGTCTCTAACAAACTCACACTCAGAACTTTACTTCATGCATTGCATCAGATGCTAAACAGAAAAACAAAATCTTGTAAATACTTTCCACCCACTCACACCCAACAGCTGCCCAACACCTGCTGTCCAAATCAATGATAAGCTGCACACAAGTCTGCAAGCTCAACTTCAATTAACCGTCTTTGTTGTGCTCAGCTTTTCTTATGCAATAATTTTCTGTTTTTCCTGAGCAATTTAAACACCAGATTTTCGGCCCAGCAGTCAAGTATCTAACCACAGCTCCCCAACTTACATAAACCAGAACATAAGCCTTATGGATGTAAACATGAGGTCGAACACATTCTGATGAAGTGAAAATCTGTCAAAATTGTAAAATAAACAATTAAACCCAATAACTGCACTAAGACCTTAGATGATAAACAGAAAGTGAGAAATTAACTAGAGTAGGAAGGATTGCAGACGCAGGGCTGGTGGCAAACAGTCAGACAACAGTGACAGAAATGTATGCAGTTGTATGATAGATGAAAAATAGGATGATCTTTAGAAAATCGCTACATGTTAAATACAATAGGCTGATGACATGTATAATAAATGAATGGTGTTGTCACTGAGTGTTCAGTGATTTCAATAACAACACACACGCACACAAAAATCAGCTAACCTGAATACCCATGGCACCCAAGTTTTGTGTGACCGCATTCATGCCTACACCAGGCTGCTGGGGTCCAGGTTGTCCATATTGATATGATGGGGGTAAGCCTGCAGGTGGCTACACAGGATGGAAATAAACAGCAGGAGACATGATCAGTTTATTATCTAATATCACAAGGTGGAAATAAACAGCGTGAGACATGATAAGGGTCATTATCTACTATCACAGGGTGGAAATAACAGAGTGAGACATGATAAGGTCATTAACAACAATCACAGGGTGGGGAGGGGGGGGGGGAACAAGAGACATGATAAAGTCATAAACTACCACCACAGGGTGGAAATAAACAGCAATAAGTATGACAGTCATTAACTACCATCTCAGGGTGGAAATAAACAGTGTGAGATATAAGGTCATTATCTACCATCACAAGGTGGAAATAAACAGCAGGAGACATGATAAGGTCATTATCTACCATCACAGGGTGGAAATAAACAGCATTAAGTATGACAAGAGTCATTTACTACCATCACAGGGTGGGAAAAAACAGCAATAAGTATGACAGTCATTAACTACCATCACAGGGTGGAAATAAACAGCAATAAGTATGACAGTCATTAACTACCATCACAGGGTGGAAATAAACAGCAATAAGTATGACAGTCATTAACTACCATCACAGGGTGGAAATAAACAGCAATAAGTATGACAGTCATTAACTACCATCACAGGGTGGAAATAAACAGCATTAAGTATGACAGTCATTAACTACCATCACAGGGTGGAAATAAACAGCAATAAGTATGACAGTCATTAACTACCATCACAGGGTGGAAATAAACAGCAATAAGTATGACAGTCATTAACTACCATCACTGGGTGGGAAAAAAACAGCAATAAGTATGACAGTCATTAACTACCATCACAGGGTGGAAATAAACAGCAATAAGTATGACAGTCATTAACTACCATCACAGGGTGGGAAAAAAACAGCAATAAGTATGACAGTCATTAACTACCATCACTGGGTGGGAAAAAACAGCAATAAGTATGACAGTCATTAACTACCATCACAGGGTGGGAAAAAAACAGCAATAAGTTTGACAGTCATTAACTACCATCACAGGGTGGAAATAAACAGCAATAAGTATGACAGTCATTAACTACCATCACAGGGTGGAAATAAACAGCAATAAGTATGACAGTCATTAACTACCATCACAAGGTGGAAATAAACAGCAGGAGACATGATAAGGTCATTAACTACCATCACAGGGTGGAAATAAACAGCAATAAGTATGACAGTCATTAACTACCATCACAGGGTGGGAAAAAACAGCAATAAGTTTGACAGTCATTAACTACCATCACAGGGTGGGAAAAAAACAGCAATAAGTTTGACAGTCATTAACTACCATCACAGGGTGGAAATAAACAGCAATAAGTATGACAGTCATTAACTACCATCACAGGGTGGAAATAAACAGCAATAAGTATGACAGTCATTAACTACCATCACAGGGTGGAAATAAACAGCAATAAGTATGACAGTCATTAACTACCATCACAGGGTGGAAAAAAACAGCAATAAGTATGACAGTCATTAACTACCATCACAGGGTGGAAATAAACAGCAATAAGTATGACAGTCATTAACTACCATCACAGGGTGGAAATAAACAGCAATAAGTATGACAGTCATTAACTATAATCACAGGGTGGAAATAAACAGCAGGAGACATAATAAGGTCATTGTCTACCATCACAGGGTGGAAATAAACAGCATTAAGTATGACAGTCATTAACTACTATCACAGGGTGGAAATAAACAGCAGGAGACATAATAAGGTCATTATCTACCATCACAGGGTGGAAATAAACAGCAGGAGACATGATAAGGTCATTATCTACAAACTCACTTAGGACATAAATAAGGAAATGGGGAACCCCTCAAGACCGTAAAAACATTTAAAACAAACAAAGAAGACAGACACTGTATGGAATTGTCACTCAAAGAAAGACAGAAGGACACCGTAGACAATATACACATTCATGGCTAGTTACTGTGCCAGGAATCGAACCTGTCACCTCCAAATAACAAATGCATCTTGCTGTGAAATCAAGTGTGCTAAGACACTTGACTAACTAGGTTCACCTAAAAAAGGTGTCTTCATTAGCCATGTAGTTCATTCATCTTGAAATCAACAACTATAGAATACGGATAGAATTTGTCTTTAGTCATTGAAATAGCACCAGTGGTTTGCAGAAATTTATATTACCCAAGCATAGGTCAAATATCAAACACCACAACAATTATAAATACCATAATGCTGTGTCTAGAATACATCAAACATTAAAGGGAGAGATTTGACTGGTCAGTTCCATAGTGTTACACACAAAACAGATAAATATACAGATGGTGAACATGACAGTGTCATTAACTACTAATAGCTGTTGTGACCTTACAAGAATAAGAGACAAAAACAGTTAAAGCAACATTATTTTAGAGTTCTTAGGGCTGTGGTTAAGCCATATACCTCGTACTCTGAAGATTATGAGGTGACAAACCTGATCACAGTTTGCAAATGTTTAGATGACTGGAGACTGTCACTGAAGTTATGTGCTTTGTGTGACACCTTTGGTAATTAACAGCCACTCTGCCAAGACAGATCGTGTAAGGGACCATTCCCGGAGCAATGAAAGTAATCCTCTCCCACGCCTTTAAAATCTGAAAGTGTTTTCTCTGGGCAAAACTTCAAAATAAAGATCTGCTTTTGCTAATCAAATCTGTTCTTTCTTTGCCTTCTCCAGACACTTCAGCAAAGGGGGAGATGTGAGAATCGTGTCTGTGCTCTTTTAAATGTGTTGTATAAGATGATCATCATATCTCTAAGGTTGTTCTTCATGCTGTCATTCCATATTTTGTGTGTCTTCCCTGTACTCCCTGTTCTTTATATTTCTTCAGCATGGCTCCTGTGGCAGTTGGCACAACCATCTTATCTGTTGTTCTTTAAAGAACTAAATTTATGATTAGTTTCAGTCCCTGTTCTCCTAATTTCATTTTAAACTGCATCTCCTCTTGTTACTCAGGCAGCACTTTTAGGACAAGTCATTTCAGTTACAATTTTAAGCTCAGCTGTAGTAAGGGCCAATTTTTAATACTGACAGCGTTAGTCAAAACAGTTCTTATTAGATCTGCATTGGTAGATCAAGGTACCTTCTATATTTCAGAAGTGGTCCATTATTGTTTACCCCCTAAAAAAAATTGCAAAAACATTTAAAGTGCACTATCCAAGTACCCATGTCTTGTTATTAATTCATAACCTCAAATAATTTATCCTAAACAGAAGAGTTACTTAGGCATGAATACCTACCATAGATGAGTACTGTGAACCTGGCAGTGGGGGCAGCGGCGGCTGTGTTCCAGGCATTGAACCTCTTAATGGGGGAGGCAATGATCCAGTTCCTGCTCCAGCCATAGGTGGGGATACACTGCCAGAAGATGGAGGAGGTGCAAATGGGGGTACACTTGGTGGAGGAAAAGCATTTGGTACTGTGCTGGAGGAGGGCGGTGGAGGAAAACCTCTAGCTGTGCTAGGCAAAGGGGGGTGTGAAAATCGTGGCTGTGCCCCAGGGGGTCCGGAAGGCTGACCCATTGGGGAGAAACCTGATGTCGGGGGTGGAGGAAGCCTCTGCCCAAGTTGTCCTGGCAGCTGCTGCTGTGACGGTGGCAATGCAGACTGTGGCGGAATCAGAGGAAATCCAGGCCGAGGAGGAGGAGGCAAAAAGACAGGCTGTCCCATAGACTGGGCTGGTAAATGGCCTTGCAGTGGAGGAGAGAATGTACCAGTTGCTACAGGTGGCATTCTTGGGCCTTGACTGGATGTTGGACTTTTAGCAACACCTGTATAGACCAGGGTAAAACAGCTATTATAAACTAGACTGTTAATTAATATATACTGTTTCTAATCATTATATATATAGAGCTGCTAATCATGATACACAATGTTGCTAATCCTTATCTGCACCGTTCTTAATTAATTACATACACTTGTACCCACCATTACACAGCGCTGCTAATCATTATATACTATGATGCTAATCATTATATATTACGATGCTAATTGTTTTACATTATATATCTAATCATTATATTATTCTGCTAGTCATTAGATGTTATGCTGCTTGTCAAGAGTTAGTCTAGTATATTTCCAGTATAGTAGGGAAACAGTTTTGCTGCTTGTCAAGAGTTAGTCTAGTATATTTCCAGTATAGTAGGGAAACAGTTTTGCTGCTTGTCAAGAGTTAGTCTAGTATATTTCCAGTATAGTAGGGAAACAGTTTTGCTGCTTGTCAAGAGTTAGTCTAGTATATTTCCAGTATAGTAGGGAAACAGTTATGCTGCTTGTCAAGAGTTAGTCTAGTATATTTCCAGTATAGTAGGGAAACAGTTTTGCTGCTTGTCAAGAGTTAGTCTAGTATATTTCCAGTATAGTAGGGAAACAGTTTTGCTGCTTGTCAAGAGTTAGTCTAGTATATTTCCAGTATAGTAGGGAAACAGTTTTGCTGCTTGTCAAGAGTTAGTCTAGTATATTTCCAGTATAGTAGGGAAACAGTTTTGCTGCTTGTCAAGAGTTAGTCTAGTATATTTCCAGTATAGTAGGGAAACAGTTTTGCTGCTTGTCAAGAGTTAGTCTAGTATATTTCCAGTATAGTAGGGAAACAGTTTTGCTAATTAGCAGCACCATAATAATTTGTAGCGAATACAGCAAAAATATGAAAGATACGCTGGGCAAACATAGGACAGCTTGGACTGCAGGAATATTAGTACACCAATTAGATGTCACCTTAAGTCATATGTGGATTTTCTGAAGAATTTAAAAGACTTAACAACTTTTACTCTCTAAAAGGGGTAAGTTAATGATTATCATTTAACTTAGCATGTTTACTAATCCTAATTTTCCCACCCTTCCTATAGACTTTTTCATCACGATCGACTGTTTTGTCGTCTTAAGTGGTCTTATCCACATTTATTTTCCTGCTGCCACGATGTAACCAAGTTTAGCTTTTCTCAAGACATTTCTAAACAAGGTAGTAGTAGTTGTTGTTGTAGTAGTACATTTTACCCCACTAGGACATCACACAAGCGATAAACATCCGATGACACAAAGTGCCACCATGTGGATGAGGATCATCCGTGGAGAGGTCCCAGAAACTGCGTTCAGCCATTAGACCATATTTATGGCCAGGCTATATTGCAGCCCCTTGCAAGAGCCAGGGAGGGGCTTCAGAATAACAAAAAAAATTGTATCCCACAAGGGAATGACTTTGAACAAAAAGTATCTAAACAAGGTGAATTGCCTACTCTTACATGTAATCTATACACAAGCATATTTCAACAGTTAAACACACTCACCATGCCCTGGGCTGAACTGTCCTTCTAAAGCATCAATAGTTGAGCCTGAAACTGGAGATGGCCCTCTTGAAGATCTTTCAGATGAAGGCTCTGGAAGTATGCCAATAAACATATAACAGAGGATACAAGACTTTGGTGGCAACACACACAACAGAGAATTTTAGTCTTATTGTTTAACCATCTGGTCTTTTCAGTAACTGATTAGGGCTTAGGAATTTTAACACTATCTGCTTTACAGTATGCAAAACCTGAACAGATCTGAAATAAAGGAATGAGAATTACCCAGGTTGCACACAAGATATACCAGTTAGAACAATTATGTATATGCTTAGGCTGCCACTTATAAAGTCTAGATTATCACAGGCACAAGCCAAGGCCTACATGCGAGCTGCCAAGGTATACATGCGAGCTGCCAAGGCCTACATGCAAGCTGCCAAGGCCTACATGCAAGCTGCCAAGGCCTACATGCAAGCTGCCAAGGCCTACATGCAAGCTGCCAAGGTATACATGCAAGCTGCCAAGGCCTACATGCAAGCTGCCAAGGCCTACATGCGAGCTGCCAACGCCTACATGCAAGCTGCCAAGGCCTACATGCAAGCTGCCAAGGCCTACATGCGAGCTGCCAAGGCTTACATGCGAGCTGCCAACACCTACATGCAAGCTGCCAAGGCTTACATGCGAGCTGCCAAGGCTTACATGCGAGCTGCCAAGGCCTACATGCAAGCTGCCAAGGCCTACATGCAAGCTGCCAAGGCCTACATGCGAGCTGCCAAGGCCTACATGCAAGCTGCCAAGGCCTACATGCAAGCTGCCAAGGCCTACATGCGAGCTGCCAAGGCTTACATGCGAGCTGCCAAGGCCTACATGCAAGCTGCCAAGGCCTACATGCAAGCTGCCAAGGCCTACATGCAAGCTACCAAGGCCTACATGCAAGCTGCCAAGGCTTACATGCGAGCTGCCAAGGCCTACATGCAAGCTGCCAAGGCTTACATGCAAGCTGCCAAGGCCTACATGCAAGCTGCCAAGGCCTACATGCAAGCTGCCAAGGCCTACATGCAAGCTGCCAAGGTATACATGCAAGCTGCCAAGGCTTACATGCAAGCTGCCAAGGCCTACATGCAAGCTGCCAAGGCCTACATGCAAGCTGCCAAGGCCTACATGCAAGCTGCCAAGGCCTACATGCAAGCTGCCAAGGCTTACATGCAAGCTGCCAAGGCCTACATGCAAGCTGCCAAGGCTTACATGCAAGCTGCCAAGGCCTACATGCAAGCTGCCAAGGCCTACATGCAAGCTGCCAAGGCTTACATGCAAGCTGCCAAGGCTTACATGCGAGCTGCCAAGGCCTACATGCAAGCTGCCAAGGCCTACATGCAAGCTGCCAAGGCCTACATGCAAGCTGCCAAGGCCTACATGCAAGCTGCCAAGGCCTACATGCAAGCTGCCAAGGCTTACATGCAAGCTGCCAAGGCCTACATGCAAGCTGCCAAGGCTTACATGCAAGCTGCCAAGGCCTACATGCAAGCTGCCAAGGCCTACATGCAAGCTGCCAAGGCCTACATGCAAGCTGCCAAGGCCTACATGCAAGCTGCCAAGGCTTACATGCAAGCTGCCAAGGCTTACATGCGAGCTGCCAAGGTATACATGCAAGCTGCCAAGGTATACATGCAAGCTGCCAAGGTATACATGCAAGCTGCCAAGGTATACATGCAAGCTGCCAAGGTATACATGCGAACTGCCAAGGCTTACATGCGAGCTGCCAAGGCTTACATGCGAGCTGCCAAGGCCTACATGCAAGCTGCCAAGGCCTACATGCAAGCTGCCAAGGCCTACATGCAAGCTGCCAAGGCCTACATGCAAGCTGCCAAGGCTTACATGCGAGCTGCCAACGCCTACATGCAAGCTGCCAAGGTATACATGCAAGCTGCCAAGGTATACATGCAAGCTGCCAAGGCCTACATGCAAGCTGTCAAGGCCTACATGCAAGCTGCCAAGGCCTACATGCAAGCTGCCAAGGTATACATGCAAGCTGCCAAGGTATACATGCAAGCTGCCAAGGTATACATGCAAGCTGCCAAGGTATACATGCAAGCTGCCAAGGCCTACATGCAAGCTGCCAAGGCCTACATGCAAGCTGCCAAGGCCTACATGCAAGCTGCCAAGGCTTACATGCAAGCTGCCAAGGTATACATGCAAGCTGCCAAGGCCTACATGCAAGCTGCCAAGGCCTACATGCAAGCTGCCAAGGTATACATGCAAGCTGCCAAGGTATACATGCAAGCTGCCAAGGTATACATGCAAGCTGCCAAGGCCTACATGCAAGCTGCCAAGGCCTACATGCAAGCTGCCAAGGCCTACATGCAAGCTGCCAAGGCTTACATGCGAGCTGCCAAGGCCTACATGCAAGCTGCCAAGGCTTACATGCGAGCTGCCAAGGCCTACATGCAAGCTGCCAAGGCCTACATGCAAGCTGCCAAGGCCTACATGCAAGCTGCCAAGGCCTACATGCAAGCTGCCAAGGCTTACATGCGAGCTGCCAACGCCTACATGCAAGCTGCCAAGGCTTACATGCGAGCTGCCAAGGCCTACATGCAAGCTGCCAAGGCCTACATGCGAGCTGCCAAGGCCTACATGCAAGCTGCCAAGGCTTACATGCGAGCTGCCAAGGCCTACATGCAAGCTGCCAAGGCCTACATGCAAGCTGCCAAGGCCTACATGCAAGCTGCCAAGGCCTACATGCAAGCTGCCAAGGCCTACATGCAAGCTGCCAAGGCCTACATGCAAGCTGCCAAGGCCTACATGCAAGCTGCCAAGGCCTACATGCAAGCTGCCAAGGCCTACATGCAAGCTGCCAAGGCCTACATGCAAGCTGCCAAGGCCTACATGCAAGCTGCCAAGGCTTACATGCGAGCTGCCAACGCCTACATGCAAGCTGCCAAGGTATACATGCGAGCTGCCAAGGTATACATGCAAGCTGCCAAGGCCTACATGCAAGCTGCCAAGGCTTACATGCAAGCTGCCAAGGTATACATGCAAGCTGCCAAGGCCTACATGCAAGCTGCCAAGGCCTACATGCAAGCTGCCAAGGCCTACATGCAAGCTGCCAAGGTATACATGCAAGCTGCCAAGGTATACATGCAAGCTGCCAAGGTATACATGCAAGCTGCCAAGGTATACATGCAAGCTGCCAAGGTATACATGCAAGCTGCCAAGGCCTACATGCAAGCTGCCAAGGTATACATGCAAGCTGCCAAGGCCTACATGCAAGCTGCCAAGGCCTACATGCAAGCTGCCAAGGCCTACATGCAAGCTGCCAAGGTATACATGCAAGCTGCCAAGGTATACATGCAAGCTGCCAAGGTATACATGCAAGCTGCCAAGGCCTACATGCAAGCTGCCAAGGCCTACATGCAAGCTGCCAAGGCCTACATGCAAGCTGCCAAGGCCTACATGCAAGCTGCCAAGGTATACATGCAAGCTGCCAAGGTATACATGCAAGCTGCCAAGGCCTACATGCAAGCTGCCAAGGTATACATGCAAGTTACCAATGATGGAAGGCATTCACTACATGCCAATATTAAAGGTTTCATAAGAAGACCAGCTAAAAATGATGGATGGCACTAGCTGAAGATACCATCAGATGGCGGCCTAAGTCAAGCAAATTCACATTGGGCAGGAATGGGTGAACAGGAACAAACACAAAGCAACTTCCATCCAGTCATTATCACATTAGGAACAGAATTTAGAGAGTTGTGCAATGGTTTGGCAGAATTAGGGGTACAACAACAGATAGATGAACAAGGAATGGATGAACATGAACAAACACAACAGCAGCTTCCATCCAGTCATTATCACATTAGGAACAGAATTTAGAGAGTTGTGCAATGGTTTGGCAGAATTAGGGGTACAACAACAGATAGATGAACAAGGAACGGGTGGACATGAACAAACACAACAGCAGCTTCCATCCGGTCATTATTACATTAGAAACAGAATTTAGAGAGTTGTACAATGGTTTGGCAGAATTAGGTGTACAACAAAAGACAGATGAAAAGATAGGGCTAAATGATGCAATAGTGTACATCAATGGTTCTTTCACTGAGGTGAAAAAATCTGGCTGCAGATTTTCAGCAAAAGTGAAGGAAAAGATCATGGCAGAACAAAATGGTGCTTTTTTACTCTACAACTCCAAGCATGAAGCTGGAGATAACCAGTGTAGCTCCAAAGTGGACAGCAGAAAATAAGAGTTACCAGAAGAATTATAGTGACTGATTTTCAATCATAATTTCAGAAGGTTCAAAATAGAAAAATGTGGCATGAGTGGACAGCAAGCATCAGCATGTCATCATTACATGGACTCACATGAATATACTGTCCGTGACAATTCAAACAAACATTCCTACAGAATTTTTAAAAACTCTTTCAGTCTTAAACAATGCACTGTGTGTTATAGCTGTTACATTTGGTATTAGAGTGTTAAAGAAAGCTGGCTACATATTTTAAAATACAACCCTGAGTATATGTGTGGTGTATATGTTTTGGCTTGTTGACCATAATACTCAGGTTTTTTACTTTGGATTAGTCCCCTTCAAACATGTTGCTAGAACCTCTGATACTGAAAAATATAATGCAACAGTATTCAAGTCACCTGGAAAGACACGGTGACCAGTGAGATACAGAGGATATCAACCACTGAGCTGATTGGTTGATAAACACATAAAGCCAGCATCATGCATATATCTAACATACTTCAAGGTGTGCAAACAGATTATTTATTTTATAAGTTATGTGGAGAAAAAACTTAGTACCTGGTAAAATGAGCGAGATTTGTTCAAAAATGACCATGGCTCCCTGTTGAAGCCAGCCTTGAGTGGGTACCAGGTAAAGTCCTGGCAGGTAAAGACGGCTGGTGTGATGCTTGACCATATCACCTACCAAATGCCGATTGGTCTATAAAATATAGGTCTAGCCCCCACCCCCCTGTGGGCGGATCTTACTAGTTACATTTGCCATGCCATGGGCTTTAAGTCCATGCTTCCTCATGGTACAATATAACACTATCATCTGGAAAGATGCCAGCTAACTAACAGGGGTCCTGGTTTGTCTATATTCACAGAGGAAGTGTCTGCACTTGTAAATATTTAGAGTTTTAAAGAAGTCTCAGTTTGTCCTCGCCTGAATTATTTGGGGTTGTAAAAGGGGTCCCAGTTTGACCGTCTTCACCAACAAACTGTGTACACCGGAATTATATAGGCTTGTAATAGGGGTCCCAGTTAGTCTGTCTTCATAAATAAATTGTCTACTCCTGAATTACTTAGGGTTATAATAGTGGTCCAGTTTGTCTGTATTCACAGACAAAGTGTCTGCATGTATATGAACTAGTGGGGGTTGTAAAAGAATCTCAGCTTGTCTGCATTAACTTATTAAAGTGTATGTATGTACCTGAATTAGTTGGGGTTGTAATCGGAGTCCTCTGCTGAAGAGGGTTGACCTGATGTGAATACTGCCCTTGTCCATGAAAAGGCATAGGTAATTCATTCGGGCGACCTGGAAACAATATTACACTCATGTGACGCAGGTGTCAGTTGAAACCTGTTCAACGCCATGTGATAGAGCCTGCTGTGTAACTACATGTGACATATTTAAATACAGCAAACCCTCATTAACACGGACTCACATAAGAAGAACACTCAGTTAACATGAAGACAATTTTGATAGCAGCAGGGGCGTATTATTTTTAATCCCCTGTTAGCACAAAATTGCCTAACACAAACTACATTTTAGGTTCCTTGTCATTGGTGTTAATAAGAGTTTATACTCGGTGCATCTGTGCTTTTGATGGCAAATTGAAATTTTTAAGGAGGGTGTGTTTTGAACATGTAGGATGAGGGAGTGGCTGATTTATGGGTATTTCACTCTTTCTCACAGTTGTTTCCTCATGTCAGAAGAAGAAAATTACAAAGAATTATAAAACACTGGCACTGAAAAAAAAACATTACCGAAAGATATCAATACCAGACAATTAATGTACTCTGACAATATAAAAATACAAAGGATGTGATGGAGGAAGAGGTGGAAGGAAAGCTTGCAAGAGGAAGGCAATGCTGCTGGTGGAGGAAACTCATGAAGAAACAGAATGGGAGACAGAGTGAAAGAAGCCTGTAAGAATGCATCATGAACAATCAGAACTACAGCCATTGTTGATTGCTTATATGCTGACCACATAATACATTCAATGTTAAGTAATCTTCAAAATAACATATTTGTCTAACCAGAAACAAGAGATACAAGACACTGAAGTTGTACTGGCTAGGAAGAATGTGAATGTTAGCCTAAAAACACATGGAGACATGCTCAGGGAGAGACTGAAACACTTATGGTCATGTCCGATATGTGATGAAGATGATCTCTCAAACGAACAATGTCTAGGAAAGCACATAAAGCTGGAGTAATGGCAAAAAGATCACAGGGAGACCTCTAGCTGTGTGCTGTGAAGACAGCAACCTGCTCACTGACAAAAATGATGATGAGCATCATAAACCTGATGTGCCAAAAACAGGGGAAACAAGATTTGTTTAATGTTATCTATAAAATGATTAAGGTAGCTGCTACGTTAACTCATCATGCTCCAATGAGTTGTGCCTTGAAGCATTCAATTTCTAAAGGGGTAAAAAATGAGATATTAAGTGGCAGAGGACATTTAACAAGGAAAATGGAAAGAACTGTTTAATAGGAAAATTCTCTAATACAGAGTGGGGGACACGAATATTACATTATCTTAAATGGTATGTTACCACAATGGACATAACTGCATATTGGCATTCACATATGTGCTCAGCACTCTGGTTTAGCAGCCATCCAAGGTACTTCTACTGATAGTTCTAATGAGAAGCTGGTTACAATGTCTCCTATCTTGGCCTTGAAGGCAGCATAGACGTGCTTCCCTATGCTTTATTCCCATGTCATGCAATCATGTTAGTGTCAGAGATTCGCCATTATCCAATTACCTAGTCGATAGTTTTAACAATATCTGCTTTATCCATGCTTCTTCCCACTTGCATTAGTGCGCTGCTTGCCAGTTGGGCCACTCAGCGGTTACTTTTCACACTGGCATGGCCAGGTGAGGAGGCCAAGTACTATTTCCAAACGCTGTATACTCATTTACAGCGATACCATCTGATGCGATTTTCTGAAGCATGTTCATGGAGTCTGATATGATTACTGCATGTGTGACTGCTTGTTCTGCTACCCCTGCTCCTGCTCTGAAAGCAGCGGCTATCTCCATGGTCATATAATTTGCTTGGGAACCACATTATCTACATTTGCTACCCACAAACGTTAACTTAGCAGCAAAAATTTAAACATAAAACACAAAACCAAGGGGTAAAAAAAGAAACGTTCCTTTCTTTAAAATAAAAAAATCCTCTATAATAGTGGTCTCCAACGTGGGGGCATGAGAAGATATTAAGTCGGTGAGTGTGTGGGGCAGGCATCAAGCAATTTTGAAAAGTGAGTGTTCAGTTTATTTATAAATAAAATAAAAACATAGTTTTTTTACAATTATAAAAAGTAAGATCTTTTTATTTTCATAAGCAGTTTGTAAATCTACAGTTAAATAATCTAATTAATATGATAACAGGCATTTCATTATAGATTTAGAACACACTCTGGCCAAAACATATTTCCATACTGTATGTTTCCATTGTTGCGGAATCTATTGTACTCCTCTTTTTAACTACATTTTGCTATGTTGGGGGGAAGGGGACCAGGGGTGTTCCTTGCCATATTCTCAAGGGACGTGGGTGTTCTGCAATATACTCAAGGAGGCATGAGAGTCTCACCATATACTCAAAGGGGTGGGGGTGTGTGTGTGGAGGTCCTGCCAAATACTCATGTGGAGTGCGACCTGAAAAAGGTTGGAGACCACCGTTCTATGACTATTTTATAGCACTTCATGGTTTAAGTTTGAAAAACCACTGGCAGGTATAAAAACAACAACCAAAAAACTTACTCTGTTGGCCGTCCCCTGCTGAACCTTGAACCCCGACACTATAAGGCAGTGACGACGGTGGTTGACCTAAACTCTGTGAGGGGGGAGGTGGCTGAGGTGATCCAACAGCTTGATTACCACTTTGTGGTGGCGCCATTCCATATCCGGCTCTTGGTGGTGGTGCAAAACCAACCGAGGGTGGGAAATTTGATGTCGCTGAGGGTCTAATGTTTGTATTGCCTGGTCCATTCATAAATGAACCAGCTGGCTGAACTGATGGAGGTGGGTATGAGACCTGGCCTGGAGGTCTCTGCTGGAGATTTGGTGTCTGGTATACATGTGGGGGAGGCTGTGGAGCTGGATTTGTTATTGGCATTCTTGACTGCTGTAGATGCTGTGCAGGAAAGCCATTCATGTTGGGTGAAGACTGAGGAAGGGCAGTCAGAGGTCTCCAGTGTGCTCCAGTGTGAAACGCTCCACTGGGCTGAAATGGACCATTTGATGCAGGTGTGGGAGCTTTGTTTTGACCTACTGGAAAAGCAAGACAGTTTCATTGACATTCATTCTATTTAACAATATTGTCAACTGCAGGCACTTCAGTAATTTTTATTTACATATATAGCATGGAGAGAGAGCAAGGGAAAGGGGGAAAAATATCTGTATGACTTAGCATTATAAGTGAGGCAAAACGGGAACACTGACCCGATCTGTAATTCTGGTGATCGCATGGGATGACAAAACATGATAGACTATTCTTACTGGTATTGCAAATAATGTGAGACATGTGTTTCAGCAGACAGCAGGTCTTGTGAGGTCAGACGTGTTTATAGACAGGAATGTCCCGTGAGGTGAAATGTGTGTTTATAGACAGTAATGTTCTGTGAGACATGTGTTTATAGACAGCAATGTTCTGTGAGACATGTGTTTATAGACAGCAATGTTCTGTGAGGTGTGTTTTTTAGGGCTGTACCGAATAGTGATTTTCACTATTCGGCCGAATACGAATAGTGTATCATCATCAGGTGCCTTGCTGACTGGCTTGGGCGTATATGCCTCGCCACAATCTGCAATCTCCTCCAGCATGTATTAGTTCGTGTGCTGACACACCTCCATGCCATGCAACAAGACTGTCAAGAATCTTCTCTCGTTGTCTTCCTCTATCTCTCCTTCCACAGATCTTTCCAGTGGTCCCCACATGTCCCATTTTCCCTCTTCTATTAATATGCCGAAAAATGATGACTGTCTCCTTCTGATATCTGTGATTAGTTGTCTTCTGGCTCCCACCTCTTTCAAAACCTCTTGGTTACTTTTTTTTGGCTGTCCAATGTATTTCAAGTTTTGTTCTGTAAAACCACATCTCTGAGGCCTCAAGAAATTTGTTATTTTTAGAAAGCTGTGGTTGGCATTTTATGCAGTATGATACACTTTGAGTGTGAAACAAGGAAAAAACTTTTCGACACTGGCGAGGAAAGACAATTAAAATTTTAACTTTTTGGTATCTTCATGCCTTCTTTAATAATGTCACAATTTATAGCCAACTTTTCTTCATTTTCACCGTGGCATCCCTGGCATATACACCCAGTTTGAGAACCTCTGCTGTAATGCCTCGGTCAAGTCAGCAGGCAAAGAGTTTGCCAGCTGCTGTACCAGCAGCAGGGTCGCAGTTTCCCCCGCTACGACATACTCAGACAACAGCAACTAATGTGTTAACGAGAAAGTTATTTCAGTCCATCGCAGGGTTGCCATATTGGCATTTTTTATGATTATTCTATTTCTTATTGCATTTGTTGTCTTCCTAAACGGATCGTGACTTTGATAAACCAAGGCCCTCTGTAATTTATGTTAATCTACTAGAATAACTGCAGGATATAAAACCAAAACCCGCCACTGATACCAAGCGATTCAGACCGTTCAGAAACTACTTGAGGACAGAAAATAGAGAGTATTTAGCCCGATTTTACCAAAGGCCAGGTCATCCAAATAATTCAAATCATCTTATGACAAGTGTAATAGTAACTTGAAAAAAAAAACATATCCACGGCTTAAAAGATCTTCAGACGAATGAGAGGCAACCTATTGCAAACTGTGTCAGTGCACTATTGCACCAAGAATTAGTAGCATATCAAATCATAAAAATCTGAAAACAGGATGAAAACTCCGTCAAAAAGCCAGTCACAGCTGATTACAACAATGACTCCTAGGCAAAGTAATGATAAAGTTAAAGGCAGCAGAGTTGCAACTTGCTGTAGGCATGACCTGCCATTGTGCAATACGTGAAATCATGAGAGCACATGGTTGGGGGAGTACACTGGAGCACATACAGTTGCATATAACTAAATGTTCATGCCTAATAAAAAATATGCCATCATTTTAGATGAGTTGCAAAGACTTCATCAAATCTGAGAAAATGCTTAAAGATTTTACATCTCAAAAGGTTTACGCTCTATCTTCCACTGGTTCCACTGAGGATGAAAGTGTAGAATTCAATCTAGAGCTTTTGATGCGAAGACGCTACAATGTTATACCATAATTGGCATTTTCTGGGTATTGGTTTGGCATACAATAAAGTTTTTTTTTATCTGGCAACCCTGGTCCATCACAGTGTATGCAAAAACAGGTGTAAGGTAACCACTATTCGTATTGGGCCAAATACAAAATAGTTATTAAGACCACAATTCGGCCCCAATGGGAATACGAAGCGAATATTCGGTACAACCCTAGTGTTTATAGACAGCAATGTTCTGTGAGACACGTGTTTATATACACCAATGTACTGTCAGGTGAGACCTGTGTTTATACACAGCAATGTCCCATGAGACATGTTTATATACACCAATGTACCGTGAGGCGAGACCTGTGTTTATAGACAGCTATGTTCTGTGAGACATGTGTTTACAGACACCAATGTTCTGTGAGGTGAGACATGAGTTTATAGACAGCAATGTTCAGAGAGGCACGTGTTTATAGACAGCGCACGTCCTGTGAGGTTAGACATGTTTATAGACAGTAATGGTCTGTGAATGTAGACAGCAATGTTCTGTGAGGTGTGACGTGTGTTTATAGACAGTAATGTGCTGCAAGGTGAGACACGAGTTTATAGACAACAATTTCTTATGAGGTATGACATAAGTTTATAGACAGCAATGTCCTGTGAAGTGAAATGTGGGTTTATAGACAGCAATGTTCTGTGAGGTTAGACATATCTTTTTAGACAGTAACGTTCTGTGAAGTGAGTCTGGTGTTTATAGACAGCAATGTCCTGTGAGGTGAGACACATGTTTATGGACAGCTATATCCTGTGAAGTGAGCCATGTGTTTATGGATAGCAATTTTCTGTGAGACATGTGTTTACAGACAATGTCATGTGAGGTGAGACATGTGTTAACAGACAATGTCATGTGAGGTGAGACATGTGTTAACAGACAATGTCATGTGAGGTGAGACATGTTTATGGACAGCAATGTCATGTGAGGTGAGACATGTGTTAACAGACAATGTCATGTGAGGTGAGACGTGTTAACAGACAAGGTCATGTGAGGTGAGACATATTTATGGACAGCAATGTCATGTGAAGTGAGACATGTGTAAACAGACAATGTCATGTGAGGTGAGATATGTTTATGGACAGCAATGACATGTGAGGTGAGATATGTTTATGGACAGCAATGACATGTGAGGTGAGACATGTGTTAACAGACAATGTCATGTGAGGTGAGACATGTGTTAACAGACAATGTCATGTGAGGTGAGACATGTGTTAACAGACAAGGTCATGTGAGGTGAGACATATTTATAGACAGCAATGTCATGTGAGGTGAGACATGTGTTAACAGACAACGTCATGTAAGGTGAGACGTGTTAACAGACAATGTCATGTGAGGTGAGACATGTTTATGGACAGCAATGTCATGTGAAGTGAGACATGTGTTAACAGACCATGTCATGTGAGGTGAGACATGTTTATGGACAGCAATGTCATGTGAAGTGATACATGTGTAAACAGATAATGTCATGTGAGGTGAGATATGTTTATGGACAGCAATGTCATGTGAGGTGAGACATGCTTATGGACAGCAATGTTCTGTGAGTTGAGACATGTGTTTATAGAGGCAGCAATGTTCTGTGCCCTGTCTAAAGATGGTGGTTCGTTCTGTCAAAAGGATCCCGGGTATTTAATTGTGTTCTATATTATCTCTATGTTGGTATTTATTGTAATGTCTGAGGCCCCATCCCCAACAGGAGGTGTGTCTCTTGATAAGTAGTGAGTTGCTGGTTGAACCAGATTTCAATATTAAGATATGTGGTGGAAAATTCTGAGCTTTGTTTTAATGCAAGCATAATGAAAAGAATGTGATTTACAGTAATACAGTTAAAGAAACTAACTCTGTACAATCGTAAAGGACCCTTTTCCACACCTTAAGACATATTGGACATTCAGGGCCAGACATATTTATAGACCAGTTGGCATTTCATTCGTTCGTTCGTCCATCACAAGCGATGGAGCACCACTCTTTCTTTCATGAAACTGCAGTTGAATGTTTTTGATTCCGGAGGTGACTAATAAGTCCAATACGTGCCCAGAAGAGTCTAGAACAATGAGGGCAGGGTACAGTGTATGTAGACAAAAGGCCTGTCTGATGGTTCTTTCTGGCCTGCTTCGCTGTTCTGCTGTCTTTGTTCTAGATGTAGATCGTTGCACCATTTCAGATATATGTGGGCCATAATGTCCGGTCTTGTGCTGCAGCCTCCCAGGTGTCAGGGTTTATACTGAAGGTTTTCAGTGATGCCTTTAGTGCGTCCTTGAAGTGCTTTTTCTAGCCCCCATGAGAATGTCGACCTTCATGTATCTCTCACCATAGAAGATTATTTGGGGGGGGGGGGGGTGGTCAGGCATTTGAACAATTTTGCCAGCCTATCGAATCTGTGACTGCCTCAGGATAATATTGATGCTAGCAATGCCAGCCCTGTCCAGTACGACAGTGTCTGGAACCATGTCTTGCCACTTAATGTTCAGTGTTTTTCTCAGACAGACTGTATGGAAATGATTTGAGTTTTTATGCCTGATGTCTGTATACAGTCTGAGTTTCACAGGCATACAGTAGCAAAGGAAGCACAAATAAACCAAAATGTGACTAGCATGATGAATTCAGCTGAGTCCAGTCTTTGCTTGCTAAGATAGGCAGATCCAAACTCACCGGTCTATTAGCTGGCAGCTACGTGGAGCCAGAGGTGATAGCTGGATGATAGGTTTGGGCCAAAGGCAGGTAAGCTGTGGGTGATTTGGTCAACATCATGCCAGCCACCGGCTCTCCTTTAAATAATGGTCCCAAATGATCTATGCAGAAAGTAAACCCAAACAGAGCCTCACTCATATCTAAAATTCACATTTCTTTTGCGGCGATTCAGGCGTATCAAAAGTTTATTTTCTGCGTAGATCATTTGGGACCATTATTTAAAGGAGAGCCCAGCCACCTTTACTTTTCAGGACTTTACTTCTTACCCATTTGGCTTGTTCAACCTGGGAGCCAAGGTCATTGTTGTTGTTTTTTTTTAAAGATTGGCTTCATTAGGATCTTCAGATCTGCATGCAAGCGTTTAGCCACTACTTGATGGCAGCTACCAACTTTTTTTAACGGTTTATAAAAAATAATCCTTTTATTACCAACTGTATGTTTTCATGGATTTTTATTATCTGCATTTGCAACTGTCAAAATCTGTGATAAAATGTCCAGTGCTAGTCACGGGACCGCAGAGGTGTAAGGAAGAACTATGACAGAAAAGTTCATAAAAATTACTAGGACAGAGGTTAATACAACTCAACAGGGCCAAAGTTCAGTTAGTGTACTGAGTAGTATAGTACTGTAAGGTGAGTGGCTACCACTAAATAAAAATTTAATGACTTGACGGACTGCCGGTCAGTTTTGTTAAATTTACTTTCGGAATAGCTGCAATTAACCTTCAAATGTAGGAATACTACATTATAACAGAACAGTTAATACCTCCTTGTGGTAGAAACAACGGAGGCTGCTCATTCTGCCTCTGCATCTCTTGGTGAGGTTGGTTTGTTGGGTACGCCTGATTCCCATCAGCCATTCTCTCGTGTTTTTCAAGTAAATCCGAAAGCTCTAGACCTAAAGCTCACAGCAGACTTATCATAATATAGTAAACATCTATGTGTTGCCAAAGTCAAATATCAGTTACAAACTGTTTATATCTGAGACGTATTAAATTCATTTTAAAAGTCTAGTGTTATACAAGGCTTTTATGGACACGAATTGTTTCCGGAAGTGATAGCAGCGACGCATGCGTGATTCCGGATACGTGGCATTGAAATCGTTAGGGGGTGTAACTGTTTTAATGTTCTTGCTGGATCATCAACAACAAAGGTGTGTCCAGTCCCTGAATTCTGTTTCTTTTCTAAACTTGTAGTGGAATCATCATCAGATGTCTTGTCAGCTAGAGACAGCGATTAAAAGGTTTTGTCCTTAAACATCATGATATCGGTCCATGCTATTATGCCAGGAGTAACCTGGAGTCCATATAAACAGCATAGACTGCTTCTTCTTTTTCTTCTTCTTCTATTCATCCATTCTGTATGACACCCGCCCCTTACTTTTCAGTTCACAAACATATGTGGTAATAGTATCTTTGACCTGTACCACTCAAAAGCTGTCTCCCCAACATTATTCCATTGATCTCGCTTAAAGCCTAGTGCTCTATTTTCTCGTGACCCTAAACGTATTCGCCTTGGACACCATATGCCCTTCGTATATGGACGGCAAAGTAAGTATATGCATCACACACATGTACAGGCTTTAAAAAAAATGCGCCCTAGCTTCTGCAGTTGACTGTGTGTGATTATCTGTGCAGTACTAGACCAAACTTAATCACCGAAATATTAGGCTGTTAAACGCTCCTGTCAACAGTTTTCAAGGTATTTAATTGCGTTCTACGTTATCCCCAGACTGATATTTATTGTTATGGTTGGGCCCTCATCCCCAAAAATTAAATTATCTAATTAACGTCCTAACACTGATGTGTTATCTGGATGGCGATTGAAGTGGTGACGTTGCATAGTTCACCAAATTTACCAATATTATCTTGTGATCGCATCCCTCATTTACATTGAAAGACAAGTTTTGATGATAAAGTTGACCGTACATACAACTTTAAATATAGTATTGACTCACTCGGCCAGTATTTTCTTCTTAACAGTATGTTATCACAGTCGAATTCACTGCACATTGGGCATTCCCATGAGACCTCAGTCATTATTCACTAGCCCAGCCCGTACATTGTTGATGATATCTGCTCTGTTCATGCTTCTTCGTACAGGCGTTGGTGCATTGCTTGCCAGTTGGTCCGTTCGCTCATTAACCTTGACACCAACATGACCAGGTGTGTAGATTTAGATGAGGGAGGTTGCGTTTTTTAATGCTTTCTGTGTAGCAAGGATTTGTATGTTCAGGTTCCACCTAAAAAGTGGGAAATGCCTGCGCGTAACTTTTAGCTTCTGCCAATCAAGTCATCCGTACCTACACGTGGTGCTACCTGTTGTAACAGACACGGCTCTGGCGGATAGCGAGTCTCCATCGCTAACAAAATAGACCCCCGAGCCTGAAGGGGTAAAATACCAGTCTATGGCTGGGGTAAGCCAGACAGAAACACCCTCGGTGGAGTGTGACCCCTTCCCCCCCCCCCGCCCCCGTAAGGTGCGGCCGATGCTGGGCCCACCGGCGCGTGGACATGTCCCGATCCCCACTAAGGTCACACACAGGGAGCCCACCCTGGATAATCAAAGGCGGAGAAAGGAAACTCCAACAACCTCTGATCTCTGGCAGGCAGTTCTCCTTCTTCGCGTTCACCAGCTGTACACTCTGGCGGAAAGTTTTGGTAGCTCGTCCACTAATGAACTGCAGTCCTGCTCCAGAACCAGAGTGTTGCGTGTGCATCAGTTTTACAGATCTCATTCTCTTGAATAGAGACTGTTGGTTCCTTGCCTCTCCGGCAGATGCACTCCGACTTCAAAGGAAGCTCCCCAATTAGTCGACTCTTACGACATGCTTTTGGGGAGGCAGTGGGTCTATTCTTGTTTTCCCCACAATGGGGCTCCGGAACCCACACGGGGGAGGCAGACAGTGTTTGGATGAACCAGGACAGGGATAGGAAGACTCCGTAACTTCCCCCACCAAGACGGACATGTCGGCCTGAATGGCGTGGGCACCCAGAAATGGAAACGGACATCAACGCAATATACGGTTAATGAACATGCTAAGATACGTACACCGTTATGGGGCTGCTCCTGTGGACTACTGCCAGGCGGGAACAGCGCCGGATTCCGAGCCTCGAAGGAATCCACCCCAAACTACTGATGGTAGCTCTGCGCATCGGCGGACCAGGATTAAGCAGAGTAATGCGTCTGGCCAAAAAAATAACAAAACACTAAAGATAATGCAGTGGAATGCAGAAGGGGTCTTGAAGAAAAAGCTGGAACTGCAAAAATTCATATATGAACAAAATATTGATGTTGTCTGCATTCAGGAAACCCATTTAAACATAGGCTCTCGCTCTTCTGTCAGAGGCTATGAAACACATAGGCTAGACAGAGATGGCCACAAAGGAGGCGTCATTACATTAGTTAAAAATACTATTGCAGCCACAGAAACTTCAAGAAGCATCAGTGAGTCTGAAGATCTAACTATAAAACTGCATATCCTTCCTGAGCCACTATATGTTATTAACTTTTACTGTCCTAACAACAAGAAATTAGAACTAGAATACACCCAAGTAGCTGATAAGTGCCACATAATTCTTGGTGATTTCAACACTCACACCCCTAGTTGAGGCTATGCTTCTATGGATACAAGAGGAGAAGAGGTAGTGGAATGGATGGTAGAAAACCTGCTGATACTAATAAATGAACCTGACTCTGAACCAACATTCTACTCTAGACGATGGCGAACACAAAGTACACTGTACCTAGCTATAGCTACAGAAAACATCTAACGCAGGGCAGACAGAGAAGTGATGAAACAGCTGGGAGGAAGTGATCACAAACCAGTCATTGTCATGATATGAGAGGTCAAGCCTCCAGAAAATAAGAAGAAAATAGCCAGCTGGAACTACAAGAAAGCAGACAGGGACCTCTTCAAAAACTCAACAGAAAAGAAACTATCAGAGCCCTTTCCCACTAATGAGGTTAGAAAAAACACCACAACTCTTACCAATATCATACTCGAAGCAGCACAAAAATCAATTCCCCCGAGGTCGAAGGCAAAACTATGAACCCTTCTGGACCCAAGAACTGCAACAACTGCACCAAAGAAGCACTGAAGCAAGAGAGAAAAATGGAACAAGATCCCTCTGACCTCAACGTAACAGAACACAATAAACATCAGGCTATTTATAAAAGAGACAAATTCACATGCATCTGGACAAGATGGTAGGAAAAGACTGCAGCTCTGAACATGGAGAAAGATGGGAAAAAGCTATGGCATCTAGTAAAGAGTCTCAATGAGGAGAATAATACCAGCCGTGCCCACACTGTCATTGAAGATGGTGGGAAAGCTTTCAGTGGTAAACAAGCAGCAAACCTGCAGGCTGATAGTTTTGCAGAGGAAAGCAAAATCTTCATGACTGGAGCGAGAGAAGAAGAAGTGACGAGAGAACTGAGGAAAATAAATAAAAAGCAGGAAGATAACCAAGATATAATGAATAAACTCTTCAGTCCCCAAGAACTTGAATGCGCATTAAGAAACCTTAAGAAAAGGAAGGCACCTGGACCTGATCGAATAACAAACGAAATGATAGTACACTTAGGACCAGCTGGTAGGCAACGACTCCTAGACCTTATAAACCAATCCTGGGCCCAGGGACTACTTCCTAAGGAATGGAAGGAGGCAGAAATAGTTCCCATAGCCAAGAAAGGAAAGCCCAAGGAAAACAAATTCAGTTACCGCCCCATAAGCCTCCTAAGCTGCCTTGGAAAGACCATGGAAAGATTAGTGAACAACAGGTTACTTAATTTTCTAGAAGAAAACAAGATATTAGATGACAGCCAATCAGGCTTCAGGAGATACAGAAGCACTGACGATCAAACCTCTTATCTCGCACAGGAAATTGAAGATGCTTTCCAGAAAAAATACAAACTACTGGCTATTTTCTTCGACCTGACCAAAGCCTTCGATAATGTCTGGAAGAAAGGACTCTAGCTAAAACAAGCACACTGTGGGATAAAAGGGAATATTTTTGCCTGGATTAGAGACTTCCTTTACAGACGCTGTGCGAGAGTCAGACTGGAAGATCACAAGAGTAAGCTGGTCAGGTTACAAGAAGGTGTCCCACAGGGAGGTGTTATATCTCCTACCCTGTTTATTCTTTTCACCAATAACCTCCCAAAACAGTTCACGACTCACATTCACAAGGCGCTACACACAGATTACCTGGCCATATGGACTCAAGCTGAACACATAGGAACAACTAAAACAAGAATGCAGGAAGCTATAAATTCAGTTAAGAAATGAACAGACTCTTGGGGAGTCACAATAAACCAGACCAAAACCGTCGCAACTTTGTTCTCTCTTTCCACAAAGCCAGAACAAGTTGATCTGTACCTAGAAGGCAACATCCTTCCAAAAGAGGATAACCCCACATATTTGGGAGTAAAATTTGACAAAAGACTAACTTTGGGCCCCCACATTGAAGACACCTAAGGGAAAGCTACCCTGAGGCTCAGACTTATGAAGAAACTTACTGGAACAAGCTGGGGTGCGGATGTTAACACTGTACGACAAGTATACACTGGATACGTACGACCAAAACTGGAGTATGGCATGGGAGCATACTCCACTGCAGCTAAATCAAACCTACACAAACTGGATAAAATACAGAACACTGGTCTCAGAATGATCACTGGAGGTATGAGAAGCACACCAGTTAATGAGCTGGAGGCAACCTGTGGCCTCTAGAGCTTGAGCTTTCGAAGGGAGGAAAAGGTGCTTACCCTAACAGAACAATTTAAACGCATGAACAACAACCCCATGCACAGAATAGCAAAAAACTTAACCAAAAACCGACTGAAAAGACAAAGCTTT